GCGAAGTGTTACCCAAGGAAGCTCTGGGTCTTTTACCCGTTCTAGTTCGCGACCTGTCAAACGATCCCGGTTTGACTGATTTAAGTTGTTGGATTTTCCGATCCCTCATGTTACTCAATTTCCTCTTGATTTTTCTTTCTGTTGATCTTCTCGAATGATGATGCGCTGTATGATCCCCGATTTTAGCACAAGTTACATTGGGTTAGGATAGCTGTCGCTTTTTAATTTTTGCTCGCGTGAATTCCATTGAGAATGGGTATCACAAGTATCAGCATAATCAAACTAATCCGTCGTCTTAGTGACTTTTGTTGCGTGAAACATGATTTCCCTTGAATTATACTGGAAGGGATACGTGTTTTATCCGTTCTAGTCGCAGTATTACCAGACTAAATCTTAAAAAACGTGTATTTTATCGAGTTATTCTATTTCACTAACTTATGAGTGCAATTCATTATTTTATTAGTCGAAATGAGAAAGTCGTGAGTTGAAATTATGGGTCATGAGTACAAATTAGTATTAATTCGTGAGGCAAAATTAGTAGTCCGTATTCTATTTTGAATTATCTATTTTATTTTTTAATTATTGTTCATCATAGAGCATAACAGATGTACCAGTTTTGTTCATTCTTGATTTATGAGTTAACAATACATTTTATTAGCATGAAATCGGAGTAATTGACGTGGTTTAGCTTTCAAATTTCTGAAATTTACCGCATTTCGAGGACTATGAAGAGGCAAAATTACGCCCTTCTGTTTTAGGTCCCTTATTTTAGTAACTAGCAGCGACACCTAGTATTGCAAAACAATCCTTCGTGAAGTGTGCTGAGCTTTGGGAGTACTCAACCTACTTCAACATTAAAAAGGCATCGAATAAATTTTCAAGCGGACTATTTGTTTTTTTTTCTTGTTGGTTTTAGCAAAAAGTTTACAACTTCGGAAATTTTTCTTCACATTTCAGCCACGGAAAATGTTTTGCGCTGAAGGGTTTTGCGCGATTTGATGATTTGGATTGTGATGGTCGGGTTCTGCGGAGCATTGAAGAAAAACGAATTTTGGATACCGTTTATTTTTTGCCATTATTTTCCTTCGTTGAATGTTGAAAATTCATGATTCTGTGTCCCGAAAATATTGAATTACTAATTCATTGTAGCAATTTCAGACGCTCGATGGATGACCGGTTTGAGTGGTTATCGGATTTTGGGCCGTGTATTTGTGTTGATGGAGAGAAGGTGAGCTTTTTTTTTATTTTAGAAATAACTTGGGGAGACGGTGAGTAATTTTTGTGGAAGTGACTCCTTTTTGGGATGGATCCATCTTTTCCACTTGGGATTGCATTCCTCGTTAGTAAACGAGAAAATGAAGTTAACTTACAACTACTGTACTCTAAATGTCTTTGAACTGGAGTTTTTGAGGCTGGGTCCGTTCTGTTTCTGTACATTCTGCAACACACAACTCCCCATGAATGCGCTGAGGTAGAGTCCTGATTTTCATTGAAATGTCGTCAGATACCAGCTGTCTGGTCTAATATGATTGGATAGTGGACCCCTCTCACATGGAAAAAATAGAATGGATTGGAAGTGCATCTCACGTTTGCGAATAAAATTGCTTTTATTTTCTAGATCAGTGTTCCCCAACCTTTTTGTGCCTGCAGACCAGCAACTTTCCATAAAATTTTTAGCAGATCAGCAAATGGCCAAAAAATTGTCTGCAGGCTGGCAAAGTTTCATTAAGTTTTTACAGACTGGAAAATTGTGCTTGTTAGATTTCATGGCAGGTATGTAAAAGTTTCTGCTTCTTGCAAAAATTAAGCTAAGTAGCTATAGCCTAATNCAGCAACTTTCCATAAAATTTTTAGCAGATCAGCAAATGGCCAAAAAATTGTCTGCAGGCTGGCAAAGTTTCATTAAGTTTTTACAGACTGGAAAATTGTGCTTGTTAGATTTCATGGCAGGTATGTAAAAGTTTCTGCTTCTTGCAAAAATTAAGCTAAGTAGCTATAGCCTAATAATATAGCATCAAATGTCATCAAAAACTTAGAAAGGTGAAAATTAAAATAATTTATTTCAGTAGGTGAAAATGTGTCTGATGCACTGTTATTAGGATAAGTCATGTTTCATCAAATGCTTTCAATTGCCTGTCTTCCCAAAATGTCATCAAAAACTTAGAAAGGTGAAAATTAAAATAATTTATTTCAGTAGGTGAAAATGTGTCTGATGCACTGTTATTAGGATAAGTCATGTTTCATCAAATGCTTTCAATTGCCTGTCTTCCCAAACTTTTAGATAAGGATAACAGAGTTAATTGCTTTAATGAGTGTTTTATACTGAAAATTTCCTGCAGACTGGAAAGACACTTTTGCGGACCACAGGTTGGGGAACACTGCTCTAAATTGTGAAAATACAAGAAGCCTCATTTTCAAGTTATAAGCATGTTGTTCTTGAAAATTTGCTAAAAGAAATCAAGGTGCATCTTAAAATTATTGATATCTTGAGTTTTCATGATTTTGCATATAATATGTTGTCCCTTTATTGATTCTCTGGGACAGAATTTTGAACACATAAATTGAATAAGATTTGATGATGCGAAACCTGGGAACATTTCAAGGATGTGAGATTTCAACTGCTAATTTGCAATGAGAGAAATTAGTTGAAATTGTAAATAGAATCACTGATCTTCTCTGATTTAAAATACTGTTACTGTGACAAGGTGAATGTCAAGGCACAGAAACTGTGATGCATATTATTTTTTTAGATAAATGTGTCTTTCTGAATAATCCTTTGAATGCCATTACTTGTATAATTCAATTACTGCACTTCAAAAGATTCTTTGGTTGAACAAACGTTCCCGCAAGTCCCAACAGGAACTTGATAGATTCCACTTCTAAACTCTCATCAGTGCTTTTTGTCCCCCCAAAAATGCCATCACAACAAAAATTATGTAAAAATTTGTCAAGGCAATAAAGTAATCTACACTCAAGACCTCATTGGCCAATTTTTTCAATGATGATTTTATTTGCAAAAAAATGAAAACCTTAATGCATTTTGAATTTCTGCAAGAGCAATGGTTCATTTAGAATTGCGTTTTTTCTTGAAAAAGTCATCCAAAGTCTGGTTTTTGCTTGTGATATGTTTCTTATTACCTTGAAATTTTACAAAATTTCTGTTTCCTTCTTCAATCTTCTGCCTCAGTCAAAAAGCAGGGTGAAGAGATGTCTGTCCAAGTCTGGTAGGATCTTTTCCTCCTCCCCCACCCATCAACAGATTTTCTTCCCCTTGCAGGTTCTGGTCCTCACCCCGTTTTCCTGCATTCTCCTTTTTTTCAGTTAGAAAAATAATAAATGAAGAAAATGAACCGAAGTTTCCTAAAATTTCAAGTTACTATGATGAGAAAAAGTAGCACTGGCAGAAACTAGGCCTTGGATGATTTTTTTTTTTAAGAAAAAAAAATTGGAAATCATTTTTCACAACCATGGTGTTTATGCCATGACCTTGGAATTCAACCATTTATTTTTTCTCAGGTGGATGTACTAACAGAACCAAAGGAATTTTACGCCGCTTTGTCATCAAGATGCAAGACCGCCAAAGACAGAGTCATTCTCGCATCTCTCTACATTGGCACTGGAGACATGGAACGAGCTCTGGTCACTTCCCTCCAGGACAGCTTAGCTGACAATAAAACCCTTCGCGTCAGGGTTCTCTTGGACGCGTGTCGGGGTTCCCGAGGGTCTCCAAACTCTAGAGCCATTCTTCTTCCTTTGCTTTCCGAGAAAGGGGTTCGAATAGCCCTGTACAGAACCCCGATGTTGTCGGGTTGGTTGCGGAAACTCGTGCCTGAGCGATGGAATGAGATTTTCGGGTTGCAGCACGTCAAGATTTACGTGTTTGACAACGACGTTGTGATGACGGGTGCGAACCTGAGCAAGGATTATTTCACTAATCGACAGGACCGGTGTGTCCTGTTTCGCGGGTCCAAGCAGTTGGCAGACTTTTGCGAGGAGTTTGTGGACGCCGTGTCGTCCTTTTCCCACGGACTGAACCCTGATGACAGTCTTACAGCTCCTGAGATTTCCTTGGAGGACTCTAAAACATGTGAGTTTGTGAATGAAGTGCAATCAAACCTTCGAGTTTAACTCAAAGCGACTCACAAAAATAATTCGACTCGGTGAGTTTTTTTTAAAGGGAATTTAGCTGTTCTGAAAAAAGATCTCATTGATACAAATTATTTTTGTGAGTCAATTTGAGTTTCACTAGAGGAAGGTCTGCCTAGACTGAGTTTGAATAAAAGAAAGTATATTGCTGCAGAATAATGAGAGAATTACAGGAAAATAAAACTGGTGTATTCTGGGCTTTAGACTGCGGAATAATTGAGTTGACAGGATGCTGAACTCGGGTAGATTTGTCCTATTAGTACCTCACCTTCTTTTGAAAAGCATTGTTGTATATTTACTGTTCTTATATTATCCTGGATATCCAGAATTATTGCCCAAAGGTCTCTAAATTTGATTCAGAGAGTTGAGGGTGACATCTTCAAGTTTGGTAGGTTTAGATTGAATTGCTTTAATTTTTTAGAATTTAGAGGAACCCAACAGCTTTAATTAAATTTGTGATTGGCTTGAATTCATTTTCAGATATGTATCATTCACTGCTGAATTTTTCAGGATTTTTATTACATCCTCACGCTCTTTTTCCCAAATATAGAATAAAATACACCTCAAGAGTAAGTACTGATCAAAGTTCATGAATTTATTCGGAATCAATTCTCATCTTCCTTTCAAGTTTCAAGATCAGATTTACCCTGGAAACAATTCAACCCGTACCTCGTTAACTGAACTTAATTCGATTGTTAACCTGTCCTACTTCTATGTTCCGAACTCCATTAAGAAAAGGAATTTCATATGGTACAGTACTTATTTTAGTACAGTAAGTATCTGTAATTGGACACATCAAATGTACTTCTATGTTTCGAACTCCATTAAGAAAAGGAATTTCATATGGTACAGTAAGTATCTGTAATTGGACACATCAAATGTACTTCTATGTTTCGAACTCCATTAAGAAAAGGAATTTCATATGGTACAGTACTTATTTTAGTACAGTAAGTATCTAATTGGACACATCAAATATTTACTTGAGCTTCTGAATTTTGCAGAAAAACACTTATGCCGCATATAATGTATTTTCGTAGAGGGTATGATTGTTTTTATTGCAAACATTTTGAGCCGCAGAATCACAGCAAACATTTTTTTTTTTAGCTCCAGTTTTTTCAAGTTGAAACTTCCGCTAGTTCTTTTAAATTAGACTCGGAAAGGTCTGACTGTATAAGCCTTCTTCTATGTTTATTATCCTTATTTTGGAACCCTTCTGAATTTGAGGGTTCGGATTTAGCTCCCAAAACATTTGAATTTACGCTTGCAACATTATACAGTATCTGATAGGTAAGGAATGTGCCTTTTCTGATCAAGGTCATGATGCGAGAAAGGTTGTGGAATCTATGCTGGATTCCTGGCGAAATCGCAGTGGCCCCCTCAGCGATACTCGAGTCTGGCCTCTGGTGCAAATGGGTCAACTCGGAGTGGACAGAGACAGGAAAGCGACCTCGACTCTTCTTTCCCGTGCTTCGTCCAAGCTTCAAATTGCTTCCGGTTACTTCAACCTCACCAAAGATTACGAGTTCCGCATGATATCGAATCCGAATGCGAGTTACGACGTTCTCATGGCACATCCGACAACCAACGGGTTCTTCGATGCCCAAGGCATTTCCGGTATGATTCCTCACGCCTACACGTTTTTGGCGAGTCATTTCTTCAACCGCATCACGGCCAACAATTGCTCACGAATTCGGCTGTTTGAATACCTGAGACCCAAGTGGACGTTCCACGGCAAGGGGTTGTGGATGTTGCGGGAGAATGAAGCTTTGACCTTTGTTGGGTCACCGAACTTTGGTTACCGGAGTGTCGAGCGGGATCTGGAATTGCAGCTGGCTGTGGTGACGACTAATGTCAGGCTTCGAAAGCAGCTGGATAGAGAGTGCAATAAATTGTTTTCCTACGGGGTGCCAGTGACGAGTGAAGTATTTGCAGCGCCCGAGCGTTATGTGCCTTATTGGGTTCGTTTGGCGATTCGAACTGTGAAGCATTTCTTTTGAAAGTTTAGGAATGAGCGTAGTTTGTTTTTCTTTCTTTATTTTGTTTTCTAGCTCTGCACGTTTTCAATGAAATGGAGCTGTAATACAATTGTCCTCATGAGCAATCTGAAGGTTTATGTTGAATTTCGGCCGTTAGTCGTCTGAGACGAGTTGTAAGAGAGAAGAAATTTTTTTCTTTTCTAGTTGAATCATCTGGCCAAAACAATTTTCCGAGTTCAAGTTTTAAGGAAGGATACATATTGGCGTATTCAGGAGGTTTTTGAAAGCCGATTGCTTCTTGTTTTTAAAAGATGTTTTATAATTTCTCGTATAACATTCTAGGCTTTTTTTTAGACACTGCATGATGAGAAACAGAATTAGATTTATACCTATTTCAAATCGTGCAGTAAATTGTACGAAAAATGTTTCAGAATGCTTTGAAAGATTGGAAAACTCTGGTCAAGTAGTCTTCCCGTCTCATCGTGCAGTGTCTTCAACAAAAGAACTCTTCATGTTTAAAACGTCATGTAAAGTATGTGAATGTGATCATGATATTTTTGCTTCGACATTTAGGGAAGTAAGAACCCTAAACTACCCTGTCCACAAATAACTAATACTTATTTAATATCCTATGATAATTAAAAAGTCAATTTTACACACACATTAACTTTCAATGCAAAATTTTTGAGAACTCCTGGTATGTTCTCATCCCCGAAAAGTGGTCACCATTACCATAGCTTTGTTCAATCATGAAATTGGACCATTTACTGTAAAGTATTTTTCGAACTGTTGTATTTAAAATAACTTTTCTATTTCCACTTTCTTGAAATTCTAGCATGAGATTTAAAAACACTAAATCAATGACTGATAATCTATTAAAGATAATTCATGGGGAAATTAAATTACGTCCGACTCGAAAATTTGTTGATTTCGGAACAGTTGTACGAGTAATCCGAATGTGTATGCAACATCAGTGAGTGCTTTTAGAAAAATAAATTAAGAAAGGAATCAAGTGAAAACTTTTAAAGATTTCAGAAATGTTTCAAGCTTTCATTAAAACCAGCTCCCAATAATCAAACACTCCTGATTGAACCCATGTGTCTCTTTTTCAATGCAGCGAAAAAATCTTCGAAGTGATGCAAGTTATGCCTGAAAGATTTAAGGGGGAAATTACCATTCACACTCATGTCTGGAATGAAATTAAGCAAGACTCACAGCATCAACAGCACGGTTGCCAGCATCTCCTTCACGTTCAAAAGATAAGACACGTACGCCTTGGTGTAATTCCGACACGTGTAACAACTGCAGTCTGCTGCAATCGGCGTGAAATCCTCCGTGTACCTTCAAAAATAGTTTCCACAAGCGAAAATTTATTATTTTTCATTTGGTTTGACAACTATCAATGAAATTTAAAAAAGGAATCGAGAAAGTGAACAGCTCTCATTTAAATGGAGTTTTCGAGATGAAAATAATCCAATTTCCAGGAACAGCGGATCTTAACCTGTGTCCTGCAGGGCCTCACTCCCAAGGGTATAGTACACCACACTAGCAGGAAATAAACTGTTACAGGTGAACTCTTTACAACATAATTCTCTGTAAAACCAATGTTTTTTCAACCATTGAATTAGGTCAAGGGTCCACAAAAACATTACTTAGAGGAAGAGTTTTTTTGTAGAGAACTCTATAACAAGAGAGTGCCCTATGGGTACAAAGAAAAATTGTAGACAAGATTACTTCAGTTGAGCCTCTTCAAGTCAAATTTTTAGGGACTAGGAAACAAATTTTACTTGGGGAGGGTTAGAGTTCAGATTTAAGGAAATAATCATTTCTTCTGCAAGGACAAGTGAACAAATTGCAGGAAATTGTAAATGAGGATATTCTTGGCCTGAACTTGCTTCTTGATTGCTGAACATGGATTCAGGGGTTCATTTGTTGAATTAATCTTTCACTCCCTTTCAAGATGCATAAAATCATTTGCTTCATTGATTTTCTTCATCATATTCAAAGAAGAGAGTAATAAAAGACTTCAGAAAATTTGACTTACAGAAGTTTGGGAGAAAGACTGAGTTTGAGAGGTTCTTAATACATTGTTTCTAAGGGAATTCAGACAGAGACTTGAAACAAATTCAAGTAGGCATTTGACTTAGTGAGGTTTGATCTATAGAGTTTCAAATGTATTGTGCACAGATGATGAAAAATAGTCCATCAAAGAAGCACAAAATTAACCTTTTTTGAATTAAGTCAAATTTTTCAACAGTTGGGACATCTGCATGTCAAGGTTTCACTGTAATGCAAAATCTTGTTAAAACAAACACACTGGTACCAGCAAAGTAGCTTCATTTTACCAAGAAGTTCATTGTGAAGGGACTCATTAATCATCCTGTCTATTGATTGATTACTCCTTTGTTGCAATCTTTTTTTACAACCAGATTCTACGGCTTTATGAATAATTTGATCAATAAAAAATTTTAATACAGGAGAAGAAATTAAAAGTTGAATGGAAAAAAATTGCAGAATCAACTTACTTCTTTGCTTTTAGTGGCAAAGTGAAACCTTTCCACTGTGGACCACAGCCTGAATAATTTTCTTCTGCATCATCTTCATCCACTACAATGCCGGGTTCAACTAGTTCCCCTTGCGCAGTTTCCGTCGGATGAACAACTTTTTCTGAACTGAAAACCCGAAATGAACTCAGAAACTTTCATCACGGATACTGAACTGCAGTAAAACTAACCTTACATGAGGAATCCGAAGCGCTAATCCGTTTTCTGCAGCCAAATACGGTAAAGACGAGTCGAACACATCAAATCCAGCCAAAACTGCACTTTCAATAAATTTGGGATTGAAGGCCCCAGGCAATAATCTGGGTTTGTCTTCTGGCAGCTTTTCCTGGTAAAACAAGAAAATGAAATCAGCCAAAAATATGTTGAGAAAAGAAACACAAGATTTTCAAACATGGAAAAGATTCAACAAGATGATGCTTCATTCAAGAAAACAATACATTATACTGTACAAGAAAATGATTATCTGTAATTTTTTGGAACTTTTTTTATAATTTGAATAGAACCACAAAATGCGGGTGCAAATGGTATATTGAATGCTACTTCTTGAAATTACGAACGGACCATATCAGTAAAAACAGCAGAAAACAAATTTATCTTCTATTTTCTCAAATCCTACATGAACTGGAGTAGCAAATAATTTCTTTCACCAAAAAGTGGGATGAATGTCACAATTGAAGACAGGCCCTTCATAAAAATTTTCCATGATTTTTAATTTACTTTCCTTCGAAAATATTACACTAAATTATCCTTGTCATCAAATTCTCCTTTCAAAAAGTTACAAATTAATATCAGTGCCACAGAGTGTCATTAATTTTTTCCATTTGAAAAATAAGAACAATTTTGCCTGCAACTGCTGTACAAGGTATTTTTTCTTTGCATTGTACAGGCAGACTCTGCAAGAATTTTCTGTGGATGGTGCCATAGGACAGTGTTTCACAACCTGTGGTCTGCGGACCAGTTAAATTTTCTGAAACATGAGAAATGTATCAAAAGTAGCCATGAGGGTTAAAAGTGTGTTTATCTGAAAATGTATTGGCAGTGAAAATCCTCTCATCAAAAGTAAGTGCTGGCTTTTCTCCTAATAAACACTTCAGACAAATTTTCGCCTGATGAAATGAATTATTTTAACTTCTTTACTCTGAGAAATGTTCCTCCAAGCTCACCTTTCTAATTTTTAAAGACATTTCCACTATTGCTGCATCATTGGTTCTTAGCCTAATTATGTTTTTTTTTGTGGCAAGAAGCAGAAACTTCTTCTACCTACCGTGAAGTATTTCAGGCAAAACTTTCTGGAGTGTTCAAAAATTTTACAAAACTTTGCTGGTTGGTCTGCAGAAAAATTTACTTTGACAATTTGACAGTTGAAAATTTTTGCAAAACATTTGAATGGGAATTCGCCAGTCTGCTGCTTCAAAAAGTTTGGTCAACACTGCCATGGGATTTTCACCCCATGTTATTGTGGTTCTCTACAACAATTTTTTTTCTGGTCCCTCGGGTTTTGTTGTAGTGAGAGTCCTCGTGCATTGGTTTTTAAAATTTACTTTGTATATGAGGATACAATTTTACAGTTGTTATTATTGGAGAGAAAAATCAATGCTTGGTTCCAGCCCAATAATATTCCAGTATCCAAACAAATTTCGAGAGCAGATTCAAATCTGACGGGATCTTTTTATAATTATTAAGCACTGATCGATCGATATACTGGGATGCCGTTCATCAAGATTTCACTCACCACGTATTCCCTGAACACATCAGCAATTTCCGGCGTGTACTCGGAAGCAACATTTCCGGTTCCACCAGGAAAGAAACCCTCAAAACTGAATCCGTCTGCTCCAGCAGAAGCGCACGTCGTCCCAAGAAACTCGCTTCTCTGCTTATGGTTTAAGCCACCGACAATCGTCGCAATCACTGCACTATTCGTCAATTCCTGCATTCGAATCAAAATCTGAAGTGAGTCAACAAAAACTACACAATTCAATCAATTTCAAAGGGATTTCCCGCCCTCTCACCGGTCTGGAATTTTTGGCTTCTATGGCCTTGGTAAGAAAGGTTTCGTTTCGGATCAACGTTCGCTTCACTTTTTTGGCACTTGAAGTGTCTGTGTCCACAAAAGCCTGCCAAATATCCGGTCTGAATGCGGTGATTTTCTCCAAATATCTGAACGTCCGAGAGAGAAAAAAGACAAGATTTTGCATGAATTTCGTTCTCGCACTGTTTCCGGAAGAGGGCGCACGTATCGTCTTCCGTTAATTTCATTTTTTCGCGAAAATCTCCAATTGGGGGGGGGGGGGGAATCTCAAATAAATATTGCTCTTGTGCTTTCAAAAAGATGGCGAAGAAGTGTTTTCACTCGACTTTGAAACACACATTTTCTTTCACCCAAAAATCGTTTTAAAAACATGAAGCGCTCGTATCGCATTTAATCTAATTCTATAGTGGATAAAGTTCTACATATATTTTATCTCATGATGCAATTGCACTGCATGACTTCACTATGAGGTAAATTTAGTCGCCGTTTTCAAGGTCAGGTACATTCCCGAAAAATCCTGAAGAGATCCCCAGGCTTTGGCCTTTTGGTCATACAGGACTTCATATACGCAAAAAAATGAGCCAAAAAATCGCTCACTTTTCCACACTGAGGGACTTTCTTCCGTGTCTTGTCCAAATCGAGATACCTTCATTGTTGTACCCGGGTTTCTGGGCGACTGTCAAGTCGGTGACTCGGACATAACTGGGATATTCCTGTTGGATAAAACAAAAAAGCGAATCAAACAACACATTCAAACAATATTGCCGAAGAAAAAAATACAGAATTATTTTCAACAAAAAATTCGTTATTCCCTCCAGCACATTTTTTTTTTGCACTGTACCTGGATATTCAGATTTTCAAACCCATATTTTTGACAGAATCGGAACCTTTTCAAGAAAAAATTAGAAAGTTTCTTCAGTGGAAATGAAGTTTGATTCCGAAGTGTTGGATTCATTTCTCAATTCAGTACGTGATTTTCTTTGAATTTTTCCCCAAAAAAATGAAAAATTTAAGAGATCTACAGTTTTTGGGAAAGTAGAAACTAAATTTTGAATTTTTTTTCATGCAAAAATATGGGACCAAATTCAAATATTATGTTTCACTGAATCCTACATTTCCCACAGCAACTTATGATTTCTTTGAAGGAAATAAATTGTCACGCAGTTATTCTAATAAAGGAAAGGAAAGTCCAACTGTCTGAATCAAATTCTGGTGGCAACCGAACAGTTCATCGTGCGAAAAAATTCCATCACCTGTGGTTCCGCCGTATTCCATCAACCAAAAAAGCCTCGAAATTTCGAATGAATCTATGAATTTCGAATCAACGAACGAAATTCGAATAAATCGATAAATTTGATGAAATTCGAAAAAAATCAATGAATTCCGAGCAAAACACTCACAGACATTCCCGCAAATTCCGCCAATGACGTTTTGCTATCCTCCACGGCATCTGAAATCGGTTCGATCCCATCCAAACAGTACTGAAGAACATGGGAACCACGATCCCCGAGAACCAATTGTAACGTATCGTAGGTCAAGTGAGGCACTGTGGCGCCACGCGTGGTCAGCAAAAAACACGGCGTTTTTACACAAGCATCAGTTTTCGACTTGAACTCACTCAACACAGCCAACCGGGCGGCCGAATTGGAACTTCTGTGCAAAATGCTGAACTTCATGTTTGCCTGTTGATAAACACTGGAACATAAGACAGTTCTTGAATAGATCAATAATACATCAAAAACTTCAACACTTTTTCTACGTTGCAGAGAAGCACCTTCAATTGAAAAAACATACAGTAATGTNGGGGGGGGGGGCGGAATCTTGAATCAATTTTACTCCAGGAAGATGTAAGAAAAGTGTTTTCACTCAAATTCGAAACGCACATGAGTGAAAAGCTCTTTTATTGCATTTAATCTACTCATAGTAGATAAAAAAGATCGACATTTTGTCTATCACGTAATTACTCTGTATGACTTCACTATGAAGTACATTTAGTCGCCGTTTTCAAAGTCAGGCACATTCTCGAAAAATCTTGAAGAGATCCCCAGGCTTTGGCACTTTGGTCATACAGGACTTCATATACGCAAAAAAAAAGAGCAAAAATCGCTCACTTTTCCACACTGAGGGTCTTTCTTCCGTGTCTTGTCCAAATCGAGATACCTTCATTGTTGTACCCGGGTTTCTGGGCGACTGTCAAGTCGGTGACTCGGACATAACTGGGATATTCCTGTTGGATAAAACAAAAACGTGAATCAAACAACACATTCAAACAATAATGTTGAAGAAAAAAATGCAGAATTATTTTCAACGAAAAATTCGTTATACTGTATCAAGATTCCCTCAAGCCAATTTTTTTTGCACTGTACTTGGATGTTCATATTTTCAGACCCATATTTTTGACAGAATTGGAACCTTTTCAAGAAAAAATTAGAAAGTTTCTCCAGTGGAAATAAAGTTTGATTCCGAAGTGTTGGATTCATTTCTCAATTAAATCTGTCATTTTCTTTGAATTTTTTCCCCAAAAAAAGTGGAAAATTTAGGAGGTCTATTTGGAAAAGTGAAAACTAGATTTTGAATTTTTTTTAATGCACAAATATGGGACCAAATTCAAAAATTCTGTTTCACTGAATCCTACGTTTCCCACAGCAACTTTCGATTTCTTTGAAGGAAAATGAATTTCCATGCAGTTATTCTAATAAAGGAAAGGAAAGTCCACTGTCTGAATCAAATTCTGGTGGCAAGCAAAGAATTCTTTGTGCAAAAAAATGCACCTGTGGTTCCACCGTACTCCATCAACCGAAAAAGCCTCAAATTTCGAATGAATCTATGATTTTCGAATAAATATAAATCAAAAAATTTCGAATAAATCAATGAATTTCGAATGAATCTATAAATTTCGAATCAATGAACAAAATTCGAATAAATCTATGAATTTCGAATAAATCAATGAACTTCGTTTTTTAGTTACTTAAGGCTCGTTTTGTGAGTGTCTGTAAGGGCGTTTAAGGCGGTTACTGCAAAACGATAGGAGGTGCCGTAGACTTTAGCCAAGCTAGGGTAGGTTTGTCATGACTTCTTGTACCGAACCACGATCCCCGAGAACCAATTGTAACGTATCGTAGGTCAAGTGAGGCACTGTGGCGCCACGCGTGGTCAGCAAAAAACACGGCGTTTTTACACAAGCATCAGTTTTCGACTTGAACTCACTCAACACAGCCAACCGGGCGGCCGAATTGGAACTTCTGTGCAAAATGCTGAACTTCATGTTTGCCTGTTGATAAACACTGGAACATAAGACAGTTCTTGAATAGATCAATAATACATCAAAAACTGCAACACTTTTTCTACGTTGCAGAGAAGCACCTTCAATTGAAAAAACATACAGTAATGTATACATTTAGCGTATATGGAGGTTGGTTCATAAGTTTTGCTACTTTTTGGAATAGATCCAACAGAGCTCAAATCATTCCATTTTTTCTTACTTGCATATAGCCCCATATGTGCCAGTGCAGTTCAACATACAGTGGGCCCCCTCACTATACAGCCTGTTAGGTAAGGACCCCGTACTAACATGTCACTTGGGCAGAGTGTCGTTTCGAGACAAGAGGTAGCCCAGGTTAATCTTTGTTTAATTAGTCAAGAACTTTCTTTAAAAAACCTGTGTTTACTTAATAACATGGAATAATCTGCAGGCAATTAACACTATCCAATGTTTCTCATGCCATGCCAAGGGGTTAATTTATGGTGAAAATGATGTGCAGGAGTGCTGGGAAGAATGAATTACACAGTTGTGGGTACTTCTCACAAGCTTTCTTCACCCTTCTGTAAAAAAACTTTGCAAACTGTAACACCTTTTCACAAGTCATTCAACTTTTTCTTCAGCTCTTCACTCATCTTCTGAATCAGATTAGATGGTTTCCAACTGCTGATCCATACCACATCCCATTTTTTGTTTCTTTGGAGAGGACAAGTTGAAGAAACTGTCCATGGTAGTCTGCCTTTGTTTCTTCATCAGCATCCGTCTGAAGTGCTGTATACCATGCTCATTCAAGAGTTCACAAAATTTGTTCACTTCAGCCTGCTTAGGATGATGAGTGTTCATAAATGCTTGACAATTTTCCCATTCTTGAAGGAATTTCTTGATGTCAGCTGTTTGGATGGGCTTCCTAGCTTCCTCTTCATCTGCAGATAAAAGCTCTTGCTTGGCATCTTCAACATCTTGTTCCAGCAACAACTGCAGTTCCTCTGTGTTCAATTCCTCACTATGTTCTTTGATGAGTTCTTCTATGTCACTTTCCTCCACTTCCATGTTGATTTTATTTGCTATCTGAACAATGGTCTCCACCAGGCCTTGGTCCTCAGTTGACTCTCCTTTACACCAGTCTGGAATGAGCTTCTTCCAAGCTGCATTCAAAGCCCCCTCAGTGACTTGCTCCCAGGATGTGCCAATCAGCCTAATGGCTTCCAGGATGTCAAATTTGTCCTTCCAAAACTTCCTGATGATGTCAATCTCTGGTGCAAACTGAGTGACATGGAAGACCTTCTGAAAGAGGTTCTTAGTGTAAAGTTTCTTGAAATTGGTGATCACCTGCTGGTCCATGGGTTGGAGGCAGGAGGTTGTGTTTGGGGGCATGTGAAGAATCTTTATCCAGTCAAACTCTTCCTCCAATTCTTGCCCCAGGTCCTGAAGGTGGCCAGGGGCATTATCCAAAACAAGCAAGCATTTCAGAGGTAGGTTGGCAGATTTGAGATAGGCCTTCACAGCAGGGGCAAAGTTTTCAGTCACCCATTCCATGAACAGCTGTTCAGTCACCCTTGCCTTTCTGTTGGATTTCCATACAACTGGTAGCCTGGACTTGATGACATTGTTCTTTCTGAAGCACCTGGGATTTTCAGAGTGGTAGATGAGCAGTGGCTTCAGTTTGCAGTCTCCACAAGCATTTGCAGAAAGGAGTAGAGTCAGCCTATCCTTCATTGGCTTGTGACCATGGACAGCCTTCTCTTCTTTGCTGATGAAAGTTCTTTTGGGCATTTTCTTCCAGAAGAGCCCAGTCTCACCTGCATTGAAAACCTGCCAGACAGCATAGAAAAAAAATTGCATAATGAACTCTTCATGAATATTCCAGCCAACTAATCACCTGCTGGGCTTGATAACCTTCTTCTTTAACAAAATCTTGAAATTGTTTGGCAAACTTCTCAGCTGCCAATTTGTCAGCACTGCCTCCTTCACCATGCATAAAAAAACTATTAATCCCCAACCTTTTCTTGATCCTCTTAGCCCAGCCACTACAAAACACAAGAACTTCCATTTCCTTTGGTGGTTGTCCTGTGCATGATTCTTGGGCCTCCTCTTTTTCTTTGAGGTCTGCAAATATAATTATGGCTTTCTTCATGATCATGCCCATATGGGTGATCTCTCCTTTCAACTGCCTGTCAGTAAACCAGATGAACAAGAGCTTCTCCATTTCTTCCATGGTTGTACTTCTGGAACCAACCTTTTTCACTCCTTTTGCAACAGAAGACATCATGATTTTCTCTTTCTGGGCAAGGATGGAGCTGATGCTAGAGTTGTGCACACCATACTCTCTTGCAATATCACCAACTTTTTGTCCAGCTTCTTTTTTTTTAATGATTTCTTGCTTCACTTTGATTGAAAACACTTTTCTGGCTGCTTTCTTAGGTGCCATCTCAACAAAAACAAATCTATTAAACACTGTGCCTGGAATATATCAATTAAGAACACATCAGTACAGTACATACAGTTAAATAAATGCACACGCATGTACAGAACAGTAGTAATACTCACCCTAAAACATACTCTAACCACATAAGTATACAGAACAGTACACAACGATGTACAGAAATTCTCAAAAACACATTTCCCTGATGCCAGGCATGGAAATGCCATGTCTGAGGCTGAGCATATTTGAATCATCAGAAATTTTGGGGTGCACCAGCTAGCAATAATGGTTGTACAGCAAGTTGGTAGCTGTTGTGATGGGGGGGGGGGGGGGTTTGCAATCACCAGAGGTTTACAGCAAAATGGCTGCAGTAAGAGCCAGTTGTACAGCAAGGGCCTACTGTACCCAGCATTTTTGTGTTCAATGCATTTTTCATGCAATAAATCCATGATCAAAACAGTTCCAGAAATTGAATTCTGTTCAATTTTTGGCATCAACAATCTGAAAGGGGTTGATGGTGACGACAGTAACAACCTCATTTCTACTGTCATCAAAGAGCAGCTTAATCAACTAGAGGAATTAAATTTTTGGCATTGTTCATTTGATGGAGAATTCCGTTTGAAACAAATTCAGTCGAAAAGTTATGGTTTTTTTCTCTTGGATTATTTTTTTGTTCATAAGTTAAGCCAATCAATTTACTTTAAACCACGTCATACTTGAGTTGAAGTCTGATGGTGGGAAACATTTCCGAATATACTTCATGGAAAAAAAAAACTAAGGTGAGCATCTTACTTGAGGGCACATGGTATCATACTTGAGTAAATATCTTAATACTGTACATGCAAGTATGCAAATCATACTTCCTGCAGCAGAATTTTGTTATACCGAAGCAATTAGAACCAAGAAATAATAGGTGTGACATGAAAACAGTGAACTGTTCACGATAAATCAAGACTCGCATAAAATCGAGGCTATACGGCAGGTACCTTGAAAATAATCTGTAATTTACAAAAAAAAGATAATTAAATTCTAAACTACTATAAAAATCCCAAAAATGAAATCAATGAAGACAGCAACTGACTTTAAAGCAGAGCTGCAATTCAGCGTCCTAAAAACTCTAACACAAAACGCGCACAGGATTGAAATTTGCAATGACGCCATCAGATCATCAATGCTGGCTCCATTTAATACTTTTCAAGTCAATTCCGTCCTGCAGCATTTCCCACAAGGGACTCATTTCCCTCAACTTCTTCACAGCTTCAATCGTTCTCATAGCTGTGTAATCAACCTCTTCCACAGTGGTAAACCTCCCAAAGCCGAAGCGGATTGAAGAATGCGCCAAATCTTCATCGGCACCAATGGCACGCAAAACGTAAGATGGCTCCAGAGATGCAGAAGTGCACGCGGATCCGCTAGAGAGCGCCACATCCTTCAGCGCCATCAACAAACTTTCGCCTTCCACACAGGCGAAGGACAAGTTCACACATCTGCAAAATAATTTCATATGCAAAAAATAATCAGGCACTTTTGAAATATCCAGCAGACACAAAATTTTCGAAGTTTGTTCATCATTAAGTGAGTAAATGAGGGTGTTTCATACATATTCCACAGTTTGGGCAGAATCATTTGAATAATTATTCTTATAACTGGATATCCAGTTAAAAGAAGCTGTGGACCTAGAAAAAGATTTTCTGAGTTATTTCCACTGTTCAACTGCTGAATTAGTTCTTCAGTTACAGCTTTGTAAAGTTAGTATTTCCTTTTCTGGTGGCTTTCATCTTACGAAGATGTGAATGTTTTTCTAGATGTGAAGCTCTTTTCAGTGTTTTCATTAGTCATACTTCCATTCAACCCAAAAGAACATTGTGAGCATATACAGGGTGCTAGAGTAACTCAGTCTGATGCAATATTTGTCCTGATTATTTTTTCAATAAATTTCCAATTGTATTTCGGGTGTCAGGAATGGATTAGTTTGTTCTCCATTGAAATCTATGTAAAAAAAACATTCTATTCTATTAACAAAATTTTGTCTGAAACCAATGAAGTTTGTTGAAAGAGAGTCCACTGTAAATAAAATAAAAATTCAGCACAGTAGGAATAAGCTGCGGAAAATTATGAATCAATGTTTCATTCAATTCAGCACAGTAGGAATAAGCTGCGGAAAATTATGCATCAATGTTTTAACCAATCTTATTACTGTATGTAATACATAAAAATATCACATAAAAAATAGGTGCTGATCTTGAAATTAAGACAGTGGAGCCTACCCAGGGTAAGTTTGTTTCGGATCTCCATTTCGAATCACATTTGTGAGATTGGCCTCGAAAAGACTGAGGAGACGGTTGGACAGCCGGATCATATGATTCATGTCATACTCCATGTCTGAAATGCAAATTTCACAAGCCTTCCCCAAGCCAACCACCAACGGAGTTGGAACTGTACCACTTCTGATTCCACGCTCCTGGCCTCCACCACTTTGTACGGGCTCCACCTGTTGGGAAAATGGCAAAGGATTCATAAAAAATTTGGCGGGAGTTTATTTCGTTCCGCCTTTCTCTCATTCTCATTGAACGTAAATGTTCTCAATTAAAGCATGACTTTTCAAAATCCCATTATCTTTGAAAGTCGAGAAATAAAGTGAAACTATTGGTAAACGTTTCAGCAACGAAGACACTGAAATCATTCGAACCCTCTACACAAGAAACGCTAAAAGAATGAAGTGAAAAAAAGATACAGGTGAAGTCTCTCCAGGACAAAATTCAAGGGACCAGAAATAAATTCGTCATGAAGAACTCCACGGAACTGAAAAAATAAATCCTTTTTACAGATAGTATCGTCGAAAAGAGAGACCCGTATTGACACATTTGCCACTCGATGGAAGAATTTTCTCAACGCGTCAAACCGTGACACCAAGGTGCGATACTTAAAACATTCCGTGCTCATAAAGTTCCATTATTCATCTAGATGTCGCTGGTCAAGCTCACATACCCGTACACGAGGACGCCTTCTCAGATACAATGCTCCCACGCCTTTTGGCCCGTAAAGTTTATGCCCGCTAATCGACATCAAGTCAATGTTCATCTTGTTCACGTCCATAGGAATCTTGCCAATTGCCTGCGCAGCGTCTGTGTGGAAAAATGTCTTCTTCTCTCTGCATATCTTGCCGATTTCTTCCAGAGGCTGCTTCACTCCGATCTCGTTGTTCACTGCCATTATCGACACTAGCGCAGTTTCCGGACGAATGGTATCGGATAACTTGGCCAAGTCCACGATTCCGTTTTGCTGCACCGGAAGGTAAGTGACTTCGAAGCCTTCTCCTTCCAGGGCTCGGCATGAGTCGAGAACGCACTTGTGTTCCGTTTGAGTCGTTATGACGTGGCGTTTCTTTGATTTGTAAAACCTTGAACGAGGCGAGGATAAAAAAACTTACGTAAACAAAAACATGGCAAAAAAATAACGCTCAATCCAAAGTTCAGTCGGTATTTTAGAAAGAACAGAAAATTTAAAACTGTTCTGGTAATACCAGCTATGTGGAATGGGACAGAAATTGATTTCCTTGAGCAACCAAGTTTTTAAGTCAGAATAACATGATTCGCTATATAATAAATATCAACATTTAATATTTCCATTGGCTAAGTATTTTTCTACTGTCGAACTTTAAAAACGTATCACGCAATTGACATTTCGAAGGAACCTTCACATACAAAGGTTGTCCCAGATCCACGCAAACAAAAAAAAATATTTCTAACATTGTTGCAAACGTGAAGAGATCCCATAAATTTCCTGGTGATTTTTTAGTAATCTGATAGTTTTTTTAGATTTTCAACACAATTACTATACTCAGTAAACTGCCTGTTGGGATGTGAAAGCTTTACCAGAAGGTTTACTCATTTTCCATTGCGTTGAAAATCTGTGACGAATTAATAGGTTGCAATGTTGTTGACTAGAATTTCATCTCTCTCAAATCTCATATTTTCACGTTTGTTAAAAAATATATAAAAATACTGTTTGGAAAGTTTAATAGCATGGTGTTAATGTCCGATTTTTCCTTCAACCATACAGTTTTTGTTGCAATTTTCCAACGGCAGAATAAGGATTGACATCATTGGATGTTATTTCACAACAAATTCACATGAGTCGGGTATTTAATTCTGGCTACCTGACGGAATCTGGATTCCAAATGTCAAAATTTTGCAGCTACTTCACTTCATTCGTCATCAGGTTCTTTGCATAGAGTCACGGACGTTATTAATCAAGGCGCAGGTCTTTCTTCTTGAATTTTCAAAAAATTAAATTACCGTAAAATTTTATTTTCATTCAGCAGCTGCGGAGTAAAAATATTGTACATCCAAAAAGCCTAGATTGAGAACAGGTGAGTTGGGAAATTGTAAGACTTATCAAACCCACAAAACAAACAATTATAAAAATGCTCCCCCCCACCCACCTGGCCACGCCTTTCACGGAAATGTTATTCGATTCCGTCGCACCGGAAGTGAATATGATTTCCCGCGGGTCAGCATTGATGATGGCTGCCACGCTTTTCCGCGCATCTTCCATTGCTCTCTCGCTTTCCCAGCCATAGGCATGGGTCCTGGAATGAGGGTTCCCGAAATTTACGAGCATGTAAGGCAGCATTGCGTCCAGGACGCGGGGATCCAACGGCGTCGTTGCCTAGAGAAAAAGCGATTCTTCAGAAAATGGAAAAGTTGCACTCCCAGGAAGTACTCGAGGAAGGCTTGTGAACAACAACAACAACATCGAGTAGACGTCGTCAGCCTTCGTAAATCCTTATGACTGCATAAACAATGAAGGAACTTTGCCACGCTTCAAAGTTCAAGGCTGGAAGTGTTCCCGGGAAAATTGATCAAAAGTTATTGAGCCTCACGATCTTTAAAGTTTGCTTCGGCGAGAATTTCCTTGCTACTGCATAAAATAAACAGAATAAAGCGATAGTACCCACTTCAGATTAAACGGCGCTTTTCAACGAGTTTCAGACACATTGCTAATGCCACACGATGGTTTATGATCAATCACTGCAATTATATTATTGAATTCTTGAGGGGTTTACTCCGAATGCCCCTTCTTATTTAAAAATTCAGAGGAAAAAGGTTGTGCGCATTACAGTTGGGGATGAAATTTTTGAAAAATGTTCGAAGTTTAGGCGTGAATTACACGAGAATCTCACTGCAAAATTTTGACAAGAACGTTTCGAACTCAAAAAATTGACAATTAATTTAATTCATGCTCAAATTTGCATTTTTGCGCCTCTCATCTCTAAAATATTTTTATTTTTCTACGCCTAAAAATGGGGTGCGTGGTACTTGAGTAAACATAGTAATACCTCATACATCCTCCTTCAAACCATTTTTTTAATTCATTTTCATTCAATTTAACCAGAATTTGGAGAATGGAAAGGCTCTCAAAACTATCTTTTTATCAGTCCTTGCTGTTCACAAGAAATTTCATCAACAAAATGCGCAATTCTTAAACAAAGGTCAAGGGGGTCAAGCATTCTGGTAGAAATTCTTCAATGAATGCATAAATGCAACAAAAGTCAGGTTTCTTATAATACGTCAATTCCAAGTCGGAATAACTTCCTCGGGCAAAAAATTTCAGTACACCCACGAATCCTCATTTCTCATGCATTGGAAAGAATTTTTCTGCCGAAATTTCCACAAGCTTTTCGATAAATTTACATACTTGTGCATCAAGGTACAAAGGTCTGCCTTCAAACTCCGCATGCATCTTCTCCAGATTCTTGACAGCAGTCGCCTGGCTCATGCTTCTCAACTGCTCCACACCCCATCTTCCAACTCGCGTCCAATTCCTCCCCAACATTGTCTTCTGCGCAAATTTAATCGTCTGGAACGTAAACTAAGCACACATCATTCACAAAGAAAAATATAGAATTGATTGAAGCATTGAGATTGAAAGAAAAAAACACGAAAACGAAGAAGCTGCTGCTTTCATCCCACCAAAAAAAGGAAAAAAATCACGATCAAAAATTCGCGACACGGTCGAGGTGTATTTTTTTTTTTTTAGCACCCAAACAAAAACAAAAACTGCAATTGTCAAGACTCAGGATTGTTACGTATAACTCGCTCGAACAAAAAGAAAGCGTAATTTTTTTTTACAGCGTTTCCACTTACACGTACAAAACCCACGACTCGCATGGCAGTGTAGGATTTCCTCTTCAGGTCTTTTTTTTGTCCAAAAATCAATGATGAAAATTGAAGTAACCACACAACCGAAAAGCAAAAAAAAAAAAAAAAAAACGTTGGAATCATCAACGCGTAAGGATTCCGATCGAAAAGCTATAATTAATCCGCCAAAATACACAGCGACTGACTTGTTTTGCACGATCCGACGATTTCACATTCATACAAGAAACGAAAAAAAATTCCACCGGTTTTCAAGCACTCGTTTGATCTTCGAATAAGGCAAGAAACTTTGAAAAATCGACCTCATGAATATGAAAAATTTACACAAGATTCAGAATTCCTCCAAGATCTCAGATCTAAGCTCCGCGTGGTCTCAACGCAAGTTTAAAAATATCCCGAGATGAAAATCTCACACAACACTGGAAATTGAACCCTCCCTACCGAAGCTACTTTTATCCCTCTAAATTTCTAGTACCCGATTCTGGAGGAACTAACAGTAAAGAAACAGACGTCTAAGTAATGCAAAGGATACACCAGTCGAAAGTCCGATTTTTCTATAAATCCGAACTACTTTCCTCTTCGAAAAAATGTTCAGTGTTCGGATGGATACAGATTCACAAGAATACCACAGAAAATACTGAGCTTCAAAATGCCGTGCAGCAGCCATTCTAGCAATTAAACTGGAAGATCACGTTTTCGAAGCGCGAGAAAAATTTAACGAAATCTTACTACTTACGACTGAATGCAATACACCTTCTGAATTAATCATATCTAACAATCATAGTAATACGGGCCTTTTTGTACAAGAATGTTCAAAAATGTCTCTTAAAAACATTGAAAAGTAAGACATACAATGCAAACCTTGAGGAATAAATAGAATTCGCGGTTTCCGAAAGGTTGCTGTGCAGCGGATAAGGCGGCATTTTAAAAGTTATTAAAAATACCAAGAGTTTCAAATCAAGTTCTCATGATTTTCCATAAACTACACTCAGAACCAAACAAAATTTCGTTTGCTGCTGCAGCAAGGCTTACACAGGAAGAAATCGGGATTAGATGATGATTCACAGCGAAAAATAAAATGCTGTAGTGACCATCAGCGACATCTACCCACAGTAAAACATTTTTTTCCAACATGGACACAGTAGTCAAGTTACGCAATCGAAGAGGAAAAATTACTGTGCAGCGGAAAAGACAGATTTTTGTGAATTTCAAAAAAAGAGAAATCCCACAAGAAACTACTTTTGCTCAGCATCCGAACAATACTGTATTGTAAATTACTTGATTTCTCTTTTAACAAAGATAATTTAATTATTCAAATACAGTACAGATATGGATGCCACTTTCAGCGAAATCTACCCACACTAGAACAGATCTCAATTTCTATGGACAAGGCGGGGAAAATGCATTATTTGGATTACGAACTCATCACCGCACAGCAACCTTCCTGGACATCCTATAAATACACCTCTCAAACATACTCCCTTAAAAGACAAATCCAGAAAAAACACACGAGTCAAAAGAAGAACAAAATCCTCAAACTTCCATGGAAAAAAAATCGCACAATGAACTTCTTGATTCCGAGGTAATTTAAATCATCGGGTTCGAGGTCAACATACCTGGGACTTTTCTAATGTAGTACAACACTAGGTGAGAAATTCGAAAGAGCTTCCGAAGAAATAAACCTTGCTGGATGACACGCTGAATACTGGGGATTTTCTGCTTCGTACCGAACACTGCTCAGACTGTGCGACAGGATCCCCAGGAAGATCCTCACGCCTTTTTTTCCTCACCTGCATTTCGCACATTAAAAATTCGGAAAGACTTTAGGATCGTTTCGAGTTGATTTCACCCACAAAGTGGATACAAAGGGTGAAACAAAAAAAAGAAAGACAAGCTTCTAGTCGATAAATCGGAAACAAAAAATGTTGCAGGGACGAGGTCAAGGTATACGAGTGTGAGTGTGTGGCAGCTTTTCTTGCTGTTGTTTCTTTCTTCTTTTTTTTTTTTACACCGAACAACCACTCGAGCTGTGTGATTCGATTCCCCATGAGGCAGTCTCCACGTATTTTCCCACACTTCTCGCACTCGCGTCGTTTAGTCCAGCCAGCATCTTCTTGATGCGAAATGAAGTGAGTCTCGCTGCAGCATTGTGATACCTGAATAAGACGAGGACAATTTCTCGATCAGATCACTCGTTCTGCAACAGAAAATTTTTCTTTTGCTTCAGTAATGCTCAAGTACTAGTTACAATCTTGTTACAACTCATTTTTCAGTAGCGTATAACAAAACTTTTTTCAAGTACCGGAAGAAAGCCCATAGAGTAAATGTTCAAACAGTATTACTATACAAACTTCAAAATTCCAGCATGGAATGCGTACTTGTTCTCGAACTTTTTTTGAGGAATGTTCAACAGATTCTCCAGGCATAAATTTCCTGATAGAAAGTAGAAGCATGGGTGGAAGCTGCTTACAAGACAAACAAAAAATAATTTCAAGTGGTTCCACACATTATTCTCCGAGAATTATGAAACTGATATAACTAATGGAATGAATGATTAAAGCTAATTTTTTTTCTTCAAAAAAATCGCTCCGTTCTTGAGCAATAATAAAAATCTGAAATGCCGGAAAAGAGCAGGTTTGACGGGAATTGTTTTCCAGTCATTAAAATTGAGAATCTCGTTAAAACCATTTTTTGGTACAACAAACCTTTTCTGAAGTCCAAAGATGTTCATTCTAACGAAATTTCACTCCACGGGAAAAATTACTCGTCGTTCAACTTATTTTGAAGGCCGAGTACAAGGGGGAGTACTGTACTGAAATTTTTGCAGTAGGGCTTCCATTCAATGGAGGGGAAGCGGTCAGAAAAACCATTTCTGGGAGCAGGAGAATGGCGGTACTTGCTAAATTTCAACATAAATCTGATTCTTTAAAAGGATTCTTTCAAAAGAATAAATATATCCTCAAGATATTATGGGTATAACCGTTTAACTGAAGTTTCCGCTTTTCCGTAACTTTTCTTTTCAAGATTATATACTGTACAGATAAAATAGCCTCAAAAATGAAAAGGATTAACCATTGTTGGAGGGATTTAAACATTTTACTGCGTTCTTTTTTCGCTAAAACTAAAACGCAGGAAATTCAGTCATGTCTTACCAAAAATAACTCTAAATTCACAACAAAGGCATCCATTGTTCCCGAGTTGAAAATTTTGTATCCATCCTCTTTTACAAATGACAGCCCAACGGGAAAATAATACTTAAATACAACCCCTCGTAATTCTACACGCGGTAGTTTCAAACATGGTATCCACTAAAATAAGGATTATCTTACTAACATAAAAGATAATTAAAAATTTAGCCAGGCGAACATAATCAGATCAAATCAAATCTTGCGAACATTAATTTCCATGAGTGTATCCGAAAAGAAAAAGAATCCTTCGTTCCAAGTTTCTTTGGGAGACGATAACCAGTTTAGAATTTCTGGAATTAAATATTTAAAAAACAGGGGCCAAAATTTTTTCAACAACGTTTTTCAACGACTCGGAAAATTTCAAATACAGTACAAATGTTGTACTGTGCTTGAAAAAGTAATTTGAGAACAGTTCTGCTTTTTGCGTAACTTTACGTTTACGTAGTCCTCCAATTCCGTTCCAAATTGAAATATTCATCATCTTCGTATCGGATTTTCAAATGTCTGAGAAAATTTCGAAACTGTAAAACAGTGCGAAGTTATTTTCCAATTTCTTGAGGAAAATCACACAAGGATTAAACAAAAATAGAAGCGGCCTCAATCTCTCTCCCATGATTTTGTCTACAACAAATTCATCTGTGGAATATATTTCTTTTGTCCCAAAGGGTCCTCTAAAAGAAAGTTCCCTCTACAACAATTTTTTTTCCTCAGGTGCCTTGAATTTCGTTGTAGAGAAAGCCCACCGGTTTCAAACATAAAACTTTTAATAATTAAAAAAAATCAATGTTCGTAATCACCAGCATTCTTTCATGATCCGAGCCAGACCGACGAGCAGCGGGGTGTCGTCCCAGCGTGACGGGATCCCGGGTCGCTGTCTGTCCAGACACACCACCTTTCGCATGTCTTCGATGGATGGGTCAGAGGGAACTTGGTCGAAATACGGCAGTTGGCGATCCTCGCAAGCCCCGTTCACACCGTCCGAACAACGCCGACCCAGCTCCCACAGGACGAGGCCGAGCGCGTACACGTCCGCTCGTCTGAAGGCCTCAAAGCAGCTGATGGGGACACAATTGAGCACGAAATCATTAGTTGAAATGCTGGACATCGTTCTTGGTCAAGAAGGCATGCATTCAGAAAATGTGCAAAACACCGTATTTTACTACACGCACCTTTTTTTCATCTCAAATTCAAGAGGGAAAAAGGGGGGAACGTCATATATGTATCATAGGTATACATTTTTGAAGAACTTTCAGGAATCTAGGAGCTCATTAAAAATTAATGAATAACTTATTTTAAAGGAAGCAATCGAAACTCGGTTGAATTTCGGTTCAATTCATGTCTAAATTCAAATTTCGGTGTTCTGGCCAATTTTAAAAGAAAACTCATTTTAAAGGATACAATCGAAATTCGGTTGAATTCCGGTTCAATGCAGGTCTAAACTCAAATTTGAGTGTTCTAATCTTTGAAATACTGTACTGCAGTTTTAGAGTCATTAAAATGAGGTGCGCGTCTTACTCAAGGGCGGTGGTACTGGAGTACGGTAAATACGGTAATTGCTTTTCGGATACAAAAATAATGAGGATTCCTCGTTGAATCTACCCCTAAAATAATAATTCATTCTTCTGCACATCCCTGAAGCAGTAGAAGGTCAAACCGTGTCATTTGTGTAGGATTTAAAGTACTTCAGGTGTTTGGTTACGCAGTACTGTACATTAATTAGGCTTTGGGATAATCTTTTTGACATTAATCAAAACTTTAGGTCACGTTATTCCTGGCAAGTTCATCAAATTTCTTAAGCGTAAGGTTGAACTAGTTAGAAAAAAGGCGAATCAGTTAACTTAAGTTTGTCGGGGTCAGTATGTTAGGCCAGATTCTTCATTGGTTGTGAATTCGGTAGATAATTTACCAGTATGGTGGATTCTTGTACTGTAGTAATTAGCTTAGATCAAGGTCAGATCAGTGTTGCTGCAATTTTTGCAGTTGCGGACCATAACAACGGCCAGCACTATTTTTTTCTTGTCTGCTTCCAACCAAGAATTCAATCATCAAAACATGCCAGGTTTTTTTTTCTAAAAGCCAGAATTACAGAAGTGTTTCAATAATGAATGTGAGCTTTCCTTTCGGCCAACTATAAGAGCATCGATCCAACACAGATCAATTTTGTTTCCGATATTCTCCAAGAAAAATGTATTCCAATAGCAAATAAAAATTGTATAAGATTCAATATGGTATTTTTATTTTCTACTGCTTGAGTGATTGAATAATTTATGTCACTCGGTTTGAGATTCCCATGGCGAATTCAAAATTGAAATTTACAGAAAACAGACGGGGAAATGTCGACGAAGAATCATCGGTTTTGTTACGTACTTCAGGTGTTCGGTTAACTTATTTCGAGTTTGGTGTCACATTAGGTTGATGATGTCCCTACTGTTGCAGTGGTGGCCCATATGAACATATTTCAAATTGATTAAAATCAATATACTGTACTGTACTAGGTCAACATAAAATGCCTGTTTTCCAATTGGAACAGGGCACAGACGCGAACAAAGAATTCATTGAAAAAAGTCAAGAAAAATCCCATTTACATTTTCCAAGCTTCGAGACGGGACTGATTTATTTCTCATGCCACTGCGTATCATTCATAGATATCCTCATCTTCAAGCATCTCAACTATTCAGAAAACTTCCCAACGGAGTGAAAACATAAAAAGCAGCAGGAACTTCCATGGGCAACTCCAATAGCATGTCATGCTCTTGATTTACGCGTACCGAATTTGTGCACAACAGTACTGGGGGAAATGGGTACACAGCAATAAACGAGAATTGATCCAAGTACAGTATTTAAAAGGTACTAAAACATAAAAGCAGCGTACATCGGAGAGGTACTGAGATTTGTACACGCATCAACATCAACTTCGCAAACGTGAAAATAACGAGCGCAAGCAACCAGACATTAATTTCCGGATCAAGTTAATTCATCTTTCGATATTTTTCCACAAGAGAAATGCAGCAATCATAACTTCAAAAGTTTATTTTCCGCACGCCATGTATTCGATCAATTATTACAGAAAAATGACTATTTGTGTAGCGATCAGCAAAAAGTCACTCATTTATTGGAAATTCCTGCCACGTAGATTTTTGGATGCGAAGCATAATACAGTACCGTAATCTTGAATATTTCCTTATCCGGGATTTGGATTCAATTTACTATAAACGAAACAAGATCCGGAAAAATGTTATCGGCTTGCAGTTATTTCTCCGCAAATACTTGAATTAGTTGCAAGTTTTTTTCAAACTGCCACATAATTTACGGTATACTTTAAATTAGACCGATTATAAATTCAATCGAATGGCCTTCAATTCGATGATTCATATTCAATGAGTACAGTAGTTCCGATTTTTCAGGGGCATGACTTGACCAATTCAATCCGATTTTTCCTAATCCATTAAATATAGCAGGAAAAACTGAACGATTAGTTGTTGGAGTTGTTGGATATCCTATCATACAGGAGCAAATACGTACGTTAAATGCCGATTTATTCCTGTAGATAGTGTTTCAGAAATTTGAAATTTAAAGAAATAAGGTAAAAAACGGAACTAACCTCAAGTTTATGGTCTCGTCCAGGACTTCGGGAGCCATGTAGCGCTTTGTCCCTTGTCTCTGGGAAGGTGCTGGCAAGTCGACAGTATCCGAGCTGGAATTATGTCTCACTGCCAATCCCAAATCCGCAATAGCACACGTCAAATCGCTCTTGACCAACACGTTCCTCGATTTTAGGTCACGATGTGCTATCGCCGGTTTACCCTGAGTTCCAACGATCTCCATATGAAGATGAGCCAGTCCAGTGGCAATAGACAATGCCATTTTCAAAGTAACGTTGCAGTCGAGTTGATTGTTGGCCAAGTAATCGTACAACGACCCGAAGGGATGGAAATCGGTGACGAGCCAAAGTTGGGTCCAAGTGCCAGAGTCTTTGTTGTCCGCAGCAATGAAGCCGAGCAGATGCGCATGACGTAACGATGCAGTTTGATACAATTCAACTTCTCGCTGCCAGGATTTTTCTTCGCGAGACGAAAATATCTTGACGGCAACGTCTTCACCGTGCCAATGTCCGCGCCAAACTTCGCCAAAACGACCTTGACCAACCACTTCGATGAGTGCGATTTGCCGCGCTACGGATCTCTGCACCAACAATGGAAGTCCAGCGCCGGAACTAGACCACGGAACCGCGTCACAAGACACACTGCCGGTTTCCGGACAAACCGGTGTTTCCTCGTTTGTCCGGTTCTTCATTTTACGAAGCAGAGACAGACACGATTTGCCAACCGGTCTTCGCTGTGGTCTGACGTCGACGCGATGATAAGTTGAGTCTGGCTTAGCGCGAACAAGTTTTCTTCTTACGTTCCAGATGTACATCGCTCCGACAACAGCCCAAAGGACAAGGAAACAGGATCCAGCAATCAGGAGTGTCATCTCCCACTTCCGTAGCACGATGCGATCGTCGTCGGAAGGAGCAGCTTGACGAGAACGCGACCATGCAATGGCAACATCCGGAGGCGGGGTAGCTAGAGTCATGTCAACTTCACGGTTACAGAAATCACCGTCGCAACATTTAACTTTGTACACGTGATTGTTCTTTTCGGGAGAGTAGCACATGATAGGATTTTCCGGTGGTTGTAACTTCACCCTGTCGATGCACTGATAAGACTTGAACAGTGCTCCATCCTGGCTTTTTCGGTGAATTGTAACTTGGCATTTCCCGTCGGTTGAGCATCGCTGGTTCTCACAGGATTCGCAATAGCATTCCAGAGATTGAGAAAGATGTAGGATTGCGAAGAAAAAAGCGCACGCAATAACGAAACGATTCTTCATGCTTCCGTTGCACTCCGACGCCAACTACACTCTCATTCTTAGCCGACTTCAGTCCGCATTAGAGTTAACGAGCTTTGAATGACCTTCCGAGGGAAATAGAATTTAGGAAAGGTGGTATATAATTTCTGCCTCTATCTACCAGCGTCGTCTGCTTCGCTGTTCTCAACAGATCACCTTCAGACAGATTCAGCACACATTTTTCGGTACGAGAATTTCCCGCGTATCTCATTACTTCCGATTCTCGAGGAATGTGTCCAAGGTGTTATAACGAACAAATACTCCGAACACATTATGTACTACAGAACTTCTTCGTAACTCCATTACGTAATCACAATTCACATCGACGAGAGGACCCCCGTGATGCTGCGCGGTCGACCTGACATCCGACTGCCAGCGGCTCCAGCAGGAATTACCGAGGAGATCGCCATGGTTACTGAAAAACTGCGCAACGTTCACAGAGAGCAACAAAGAGCACTTTCTCTTGGATGCGATGCGCCGGAGACCAGCAGTTCGTTTGCATGGTTGTCTGTATGAAGCCTTTCAACTGCATCACAGAAGTTTCGAATGGATGTGTCACTCGATTCAAAATCACCTTCCCAAAAGATTTCTAGAAATTTCAGCGTTTATTTATAAGCGTGTGTTCCCGCAGCTGTCACGGATTTCCAAATTCTACCTTGTCCCTGCTGTGACCTCGCTACAGGAATGGGTTCAGGTCGAATCAATATTTTATGCCACATATTAAGCACCTTACGTTTCAAGACTTTTCAGTCAAATGGTACGACTATATGATGTGATAGATGGCTAGGTAACAAAAGGTGAACAAAGAGTTCTCCGTAAAACAAAATCAAAAGCTTCTTTGATACTTGATGCAGACCACTGGTGTATGTTCATTTTTAAAGAATTGCAATCTGGACTCACTTATTATGCAGAGAATGATTTTTTTTGCAGTGGGAGTTACTGTAAATGTAAAGCGACAAGAGAAATGACACATCTTTATAGATCAAGCTGAAGACACATTTTTAACAACTTCATACAGTATAATGAAAGCCCTCAAACAATCACTTTCACGTGAAGCTCATCAGAGGAAAACAAAAAATTCAAATCTGGGATTTTTCAAGCTAGGGAAACCATCATTTTTGCCAGGAAAAAAAACAAAGTTTTATACAGAATGGAAAAATGTTAGTTGTTCTGGGCCTTGAACTTCTGAATGAACCAGTTTTGGCAGGATGCTGAACCCAATTAGCATCTTTAAAAAAGGATCAAGTTAAAAGTTCTCCTTCCTTTGTTCCCAGAATAATAGTAAAATACACCTCAAAATTTGAGTTACATAAGGGTTTGAGGGTGGATTTTTCAAGTATATATAGATACTGTACGTTATATCACATTTTCTTGCTGACAAGGGATCTTGTCAGACAAGAACAAAAAAGTGGGCTTAATCTTTCTCCACAAACATTTTGTCTGCAGAAAATTCTCTGCTCATTTTTTTTTCTCTCAAAGGCTCTTCCATGAATTTTTTTTTATCTACAGCACCTTTTTTTTCTTGGTATCCTGAATTTGTCGTAGAGAGTTTATCTGTTCATGTTATGACTTATGGAGAAGTTTGACTTGACAAGGTCCAACTGTAGGACAGGGTGATCAATACAAAATTTGATCTACAGCACCTTTTTTTCTTGATACCCTGAATTTGTAGCAGAGAGCTCATCTTATGACTTATGGAGAAGTTTGACTTAATTGACAAGCTCCAACTGTAGTACAGGGTCATGGATACTGCTTGTCCAGGTGGTACCCATCATAAGGTTGTACATACATACTTGACCAACCTGGACCACCATCAAAGTGGTACATAAAGTATATATATACTGTATATGCACAAAAAGTTTGGAAGTCTGCCTTACGTAATGTAGTTGATATGCAAGTTCAGGAAAAGTATTATCCTGCATGATCTCTACACAAATATCAAGTTTAGCATGTAGACCAACTCATCCTCCCCAGAGCATGGATTTCCTGTCAGACCATGTAGGTCTTCCCAATAAATTCATGGCGCATAGAACTTATTAATACAGCCACTCTGTGTCGAGTAACTTCCTCTTCCCGTTAAAAAAAAAACTATCTCAGCCAGATAAGATAAAAACGCATAGACGGAATGGATGAGTGTAAAAACCAACAGGGAAACGATTCCAGGAAGTCGTCAAAACAAAGGAAAATATACAGACGAAAAAGGGGTGGGTCTCAATAATAGCATAATGCGCACTTCTTCTAATGATTCAAGTGCGTCACAGCAGATTCCTTTGCGCTCTTCGCAGCTGCATCCTGCTTTTGAACGTCCAGGGAATTACGAGTCGAAAGTCGCCTGACTCATGGGATCTATACCACTTGCTTGGCTTCTTCCACAAGGAAGCCTTTCAGCATCACCTCACCGCCATGAGCCCACGGTAAGAGTCTCCAGTTTGACACTTGCAAGAGCAGTCCCGACTGTGTTGTGCCTCGATCATCCCTCCCAGCAGGAATATATATAGGCACTCTTTGAATAAAATTGCACCGTTTACACTGAGGACATTTTCAGTGCTTTTGCAAACCGTATATACCCGTTATACTGGCAGTCATGGTGGCAAATTTCAAGGTTTTCAAGAAGAATTCCCCCAATGAAAAGCTGACTCTTTACTTGCCGAAACGTGACTTTGTTGATCACATCTCTTGCGTTGACCCGATTGGTGAGTTTTTTTTTTTCGTGTCTTGAGGAGCGTTCCCTCTTTTCACAGTCTTCATTTCTCACAAGAATTACAATTTTATTCAGGAAAAGCCCGTTTCTTCTCCAAATCCAAGAAACCCAAATCCGCCTCAATGTTTCACATGTCATGTACATCAACTATAAATTTCCAAATTACTCAGAAAATCCGCGGTGTAATTAATTGACCACATGCAAAAACGCCATTCGACAATGTATAGACAAAAAATTGCACAATTCTTGCAAGGGCAACCTTACATAAGACCTATAGCATAGAAAAATCTGTGAGTAGAGACTCTAACACATTTTCTCGCAAGTGAAATAACCGTTTTTATGCAGCAGCTAATACATAATAAAATTCCCCATGACTTTTCGAAAACCTAAAATACTGAAGAAAAAAAATTGACACATCGTCACTTCCTCCACTTTAGTTTTTTAATGCCATATTTGAATGTTTCAATAAGAATTCTATGGAAGCATTACGTAAAATTGACAAAGAAAACGGCAATTCAACCTCGAACATGCGAGCGTTGCATCATTGGAAAACTGCGCTAACCATCGTCCATATGAACTTGAAATTAACATAATTGAATTTCGCTAAATGCTACTGAAAGAAGGTTTCTATTAACGCTTTCATTCCGTTCAAGTTCAATTTTTATTTTTCAAATTCAAATCATATCTTTCACAAGAATTGCTAATTTTCAGCGGTACCACAAATAATGGCTGTGTGCTAGTAAATGAACCATCTCAATAATTCACCGGATTTCAAAAACTAAAATACAGAACTCAACTGCTGCGACCTGTTGCCCAGAAGCGCAGAAAACACATAATTTTCTCAAATGATGGTTAATTTAAGCATGCAAAGTGTGACCTTCGCAAAATTCTGTGACCAGCAGCAATGCACAATGAAGTATAAAATAAAGGAAGCGATTTCAAAATTTCTTTCAAGACGTAATTTTTTAAAGGATTCATAACAAAAATCAATTCGTGGGCGGCATAAATACAAGTATGATCAGTACAATTTCAAACCAGCAATATTTTATAAATAAGTTGAATTTTCCTGCTGGCCTACCCTTGATACAGAAAAAAACCTCTACAAAAATGTATCACCAAAACTGAGGACGAGCGAGTCAGCTTCTATATTTTTGGAACGTGTCCGAAACTCAAAACTTATAGAAATAAAAAACCAAGCACCAAACTTGGATCAAACCGTGCAATATTATTCGAGTGTTGTAATAATGTCTTTTTTTCTTCTTCTTCTTCAGAATGTGTCGTACTCATCGATCCCGAGTATCTTGTGCATAACAAGAAAATCTTCGGGCAAGTCGTCGTATGCTTCCGATATGGACGCGAGGAAGACGAGGTCATGGGCCTCACTTTCCAAAAGGAACTTTACCTCGCCTCGGAACAAATCTACCCGCCGACCAAGAAAGACTTGAAGATGTCCAAGCTTCAGGTTCCGTTTCATCCATCCCGATTTCCGCACGCACACAAACACACGCAATTCACTGCTTCTTTTTTTTTTTTGCGCAAAATATGTTTTTGCAGGAAAGACTGGTGAAGAAGCTGGGAAGCACTGCGTATCCAGTCACATTCGAGATATCTACGGCAGCTCCAACCAGTGTCGTCATCCAAGGAGACGCCGGCAACGACATGAAAGCTTGTGGCGTGGAATATTTTGTCAAAGTCTTTGCCGGCGACAGCGCAGAGGACCATTCACAAAAAAAGTATGTCACATCAATCAATCACATTCTCTCTCGTGTCTTCTATAGATACAGTGTTCCCCAATCCATGGTCCGCGGACCAGCGCCGGTCCGCAGAAGTTTTTTGCTGGTCCACGGGAAATTTTCAGCATGATAAATTTATCAAAAGTTGGGATTAAATCTGATCTCTTCACCTAAAATTTTTGTAAGGACAATGGCAGTTGAATTATCTGATGAAAACAAAAGTTGCCTTTCCTCCTAATAATACTTCTGGGGAATTTTCACCTCCTGAAGAAAATTATTTTAATTTTTCATTCTGAGAAACCTTTCTCAAAGCCCACCTTTCCAATTTTTGAAGACATTCCACTGCAGCTGATTCGTGGGTTTTTGACTTAATTCTTGAAAAAAAGCAGTCACTTTCTAAATACCTGCCATAATGTCTCTCAAACAAACCTTTTTTGAGTCTGCAAAATTTTATGAAACTTTGCCAGTCTGCAGAATTTTTTTTAAATATTCCAGTGCACAGGCCCAAAAAGGTTGAGAATACTGATCTAACCCATCTAAAATAATTTGTTGATACATTTTGACAAGTGTGAGTTATGTATATGAGCAGAACTTAATCATCGTTCTCTATAATTTCTTCAAACACTTCATTTTGAAGATTACTTTAAAACTTAATTTTATTAATTTTTCTTTGCAAAACAAAAAAGATCAACAGCATCAATGGGCATCAGGAAGATCCAGTTCGCCCCAGCCAAACAGGGCAGACAGCCCTGCACGATTGTACGCAAAGACTTCTTGCTAAGTCCGGGAGAACTTGAGCTCGAAGCCACTCTGGACAAACAGGCAAGCAAATTTTTTCCGATTCAATGCCTTTTTTATCCAAAAAAATGTTTTACATTTTTTAACAAAATCCACAGCTCTACCATCACGGAGACAGGGTCTCCGTGAACATCTGCGTGAGGAACCACTCGAACAAAGAGGTGAAAAAGATCAAAGCATCCGTTCAGCAGTGCATTGACATCACCATGTTCACTTCCGGGCAATATCGAGTTTCCGTGGCTTCCATCGAAACTGAGTAAGAAACTAAAAATTGTCAACTTTCGAATTTAGATTAGTCTATCTTGTAAATAGCATCGCAAGCGAGTACAGTAAAATACTTCAGAAAATGCAACAATTATAAAATTTGCAAGCGAAGAAACAATAGCAATGCCAGGTAACTCCAGATAGACGCTGATGAAATAAGTCGAGATAAATTCTCCCGAAAACGACAAATTGGAGGCATTTTCAAATCCAGAGATGTAACACAACGGAATTATAAAATGCATTGACGGCATTCATAGATCGTTACAAAATTTGAACAAAAATAAGTTTAACCACTGTAAAACTGGCCATCTCGAAAAGTCAGTACTTCCTGCACTTACACAACTTTCCCATCTTATTGAATTCTCCCCTTGATTCATTACCAGAAAAAAACGCTGAAATTTCAATGAAGACTGTAATTGAATATTTCCAGGAACTTCTTAGACTTTTATCTGACAATTTTACATCCATGATGTTTCTGGTTGACTAGAAAAATCTGTATTTTCCTCACCAGAACAAATTCCTTTCTCTGATCAAATTATTCTTGAAGTTAAAATTATTATTAAATTTTTAAAAATTCAAATTTTTCCCCGCCGTCGTTCCATACTGTATTCTTTAAAAAGCTTTCACAGTTGATGATTTTTTACTTGATCGGGATTAGCAGAATCACTCAGCATGTTTAGCAACATTTCCCGCTTCATCGATGAATTAAATTCAGACTAAAACTGATCTTCTCGATGAATGTGCGTTTTCAGCAAATTTTTTTCTCACATGGAATTCTTGCGAATCGAGATCATCAGAAAAATCGTGAAAAATTCAATTGTCATCGTGAACACTTCAATATTTCCAAACAAGCTTCAGAATCAATGAAAAAAGGAGCTAAATAAAACCTTTGATTCTCATTTTTTCTCACAGAGAAGGATGCCCAATAAGCCCGGGATCTTCGCTTCAGAAAGTGCTCCACTTGAGTCCGAGCCTGGAGATGAACAAACGTAAACCAGGCGTGGCCTTGGACGGTAAACTCAGACACCACGAAACTTCTCTGGCCTCGTCCACCTTGTACGAATTCTGCCAAATTTTCTTATTTTTTTCTGTACCAAAATGGAAGACGAATCGTCACTTTTTTTTTTGCACAGGCTGGCGGACCCGGATCAGAAGGACATTTTCGGAATCATTGTTTCGTACGTTGTACGAGTCAAACTCTACCTCGGTGCTTTGGGCGGAGAACTGACCGCCGAATTGCCCGTTGTCATTATGAACCCGAAGGTAAAATCCGATTCTAGCATTTAAAAAAAAAGGGTACAGTATTTAAAAGTGTTGCGTAAGTTTTCTTATAAAAAAAACAAGCTTCACAAAAGTGGAATACCGTATTGAAAGCAGAAAATTGAACTGTTAAAGGCATAGCATCAATTTGGCAGAAGTTAGGACAATATTCGCGTACGAGCAAAAAAACGTTAAAATTTAGGTCACAAATTAAGGCTATGAACACGCCTTCAAAAATATTGAGTGGAAAGCTGCAAAACTTACCTGAAAATGTCAGTTTCATAGGAACACTGTTTTAACTGTTTTTTCTCTCTCAATTTTCCCCAGCCGGACAAACTGCGAATTTTCAGAGCCGATTCTACGGCAGATGTGGAAACTTTCCGCCAACAAAGCGTGGAAAACGACTTGGACGACGACGTCGGCATGATCGGCAAGAATATCGAGAAACTGAGAATGATCTCCGAATGAAAACTTGACAGAAAAAAAAACCAAGAAAAACCTGGAAAATTGACACGTGAATTCAGCGCTGATTCGAAATCTTAATCACGACGTTCTGCGAATCCATAACCTCCGAAACGGAAATGACGTCCAGAAATCCACATGTAGCGTCCAGCACTTAGTGGAAATACATCATCGATTTAAGAAAAACTATTTTGTGCGAAATTTATTGATCTTTCTGAACTGGCAAAGAAATCTTCATGAAGCAGGTTCAATTCCAGCTCAAATTGTGCTCATGAATAATAGCCTGGAAGTTCCCACGCAAAAGCTTCAACCAAAAAGCGCCGCGGACATTAATAAAACGCCCCATGCATTTCTTGAAACAAAAATATTTCGGAAATTTCCCTTTCGACGTTATTACACAGTATGCAGAAATTTCATATTTTGTTAAAACAGCCCACATGATTGTTTGATTTTCAATTTTAAGTTCGACGGTCTAATTTCATTATAACAAAATAAATAATTTATTTTTAGGCCCCTGTCCAAGAACAAAAATGTTGCATGCATTTTTTTAACGAATAGTTCGTTACACCAAGGCTATTTCTGGGTTGAATCAAAATTTAATACGTAATGCTGTCACGCTACTTTTGCCTAATGTCGAGGGGAAACTTTGAGCATGGAAAAAAGCAAATACTGCACAAATTTCAGTCCCCAATAATACTCGAAACCCTCACCACTCTCCGGACTGTGCTGAAAGTCGACATCTTATTGATCTGAAACAAGCATCAAAATCGTCAAATGGAATAAAGTGATTCCTTCGTTTGCAACTGCAGTTCGCTTTCTCCTCCAAGACACTTTCTCAAAAAAAAAAAAAAGACAACATCCACACTTTTCGTACATTTAAAAAAACTGAGATCAAACCGCAGATTTCTCGCCAAATTAACCCAAGAAGACTCCGTCGCTAAGCATCATCCACAAGCATCTGTCCGTCAGGCAGCATGAAGATCATCCGGTGATCATCGACGTCGTCGTCATCCGCAGGTCGCGGTATCCGAGGAGCACCTATTGAAAAATAATGAATCTGCGATTCTAGCTTTAAGGTTTCAAAGATCACGATATCATACAATTGAAAAACTTGCAGGAATTCTAGAAGCTTATGCATTTTCACAGAAACGAACCATTGAAAATTTCTTGAAATGAAGCTAAAGGAACTCGAGACGAACATGATGCTACAGTACAATACGGTGTATATTTTTGGCAATGCCAAATTTTCTTTGTAAAAATGTTGACATCTTCGATGAACTTATACTGCTGCACAAGTTAGATTTTCTTCATTTATCTGCCAATGTGCAAATAATCTCTAAGGCGCAGGCACCAAATCAAGACAAACATATTTTTATGCTGAGATTGGCAGTGAAAATAACTGGCAATCTCGGTCAAACTGCAATTCAAAAACATACATTCACTTTTGTATCAAGGACATTTTTGTAAAATGGCTCCTATAAAGGGACTGCTGGGTCTCGGCAAAAATTCATTCTGATGAAAAATTCGTCATGACAAGATTTCTGGTAACGGAATTGTATTGCGTAAATTACAGGTTCTGAACCTCGTCAAGATTATTCACGAAATAACTTCATCCTTAATCAGCTCAGTGGAATAATAAAAAAGGCGCTTTCTTCTGAATAAATAACCTGAATGAAAATACCTGAAGAACCTGAATATATGTACAGTAAAGTACTCAAATTAACCAGCCACTTTTGACAAAGCGTAATAAAATGAAGGCGGCACTCTCGCATTAAAATGGAAAATGAATTCCACGGGTAAGGTACGTCATTAAATAAAGTGGAAAATGAAATCGTGCGCAGGTAAACTTTTGCTACAACGATTTTGTCCGTATAACGCTTTCTTTTTTTTAATACATCCCTCTACCACCTTTTGGGAGTCTCTTTAAAATGTTTTTCTTTTCTGGCTTCAAGAATTTTGTTTCAAAGAAAGTCCACGCGTATTTCATGATTCAGACCCACATCGGATAAAAAAAATACTGTATGTACAATATTCATAAATTAGATTTTTCGAAGTAACTTTACCTGCAGCTTTGAGCGCCTCTGCTGCATCCACAGCCCCGCCAGACACTTCCACAACCAGGTTTGCCAGGGTATTCAGGTCTATCGTCGCGTCTGCCTTCGTGTCATCTTCATCATCATCATCGTCGTCGTCCTCCGAATTTGGCTCTTCACCAGACAACATCGACATCGTCGGAGCATGCCCCTTAGTTCCCAGGAGGTCTTCAACCTTGTCTTGTTCCTTCACAAACTAAACACGCGCAACGCTGAATCAAGTTACCGTACAGAATTGACGATCCAAATTAAAGAATATTCAGGTTATGGTCAAGGGGCAACGAATTCAAGAACAAAAAGTGTTTTCATCACCAAAACAAAGAAATCAGTCAATCTATTCATTCTTCAGCAGTTATTTTTTGTTCGTTCAACTACCACTTCGCAAAGTTACCTGTAATGGATCTACAAGACTTTACGTCAAGAGTTTTCTTTTTAATGCTACTGAAGTTAAAGTTTTCCAAGAACAAAAAAACGGTCAAAATATCAAGTCCCACACAATCCCGAATGTTCGCGCAAATCGACGAGCAAAATTAGGCATCAATTTACTCTGTTTCTAACCTTAACGTCTTCACTGTCATCCAAGCTTCCGCCGCTTGGCGTGAGCGAAAGAAACTGATTCCCAGCTTCATCTTCGAAAAAGAACATCCGCTGTTCAGTGGAAGCACCGTTATGCTGCGCATTTATTAGGGACGCCAGTTGAGCCTCTGCGTCAGCCGGCAGAATCAATTGCTGCGTCCCATCGTCAGACGTGATCACCGTGGCTCCCAAATTCCCGTCCGTTATTATTTCCGTTTCCTGAAGAAGATAACCGAAGTTTTTCTTGAGCATTCTTTCGAAATTTTCATTTTACAATCGTAACACCGTCGAACCTCTTCGAGTCGAACTCAAGGGACCAGCTTTAAACAATTAGACTCAGGGAAACAAGCATCAGCGTTGGGGAAAGAAGTAAGAATACAGGAAATTCTAATCTGGGATATATCCTGGGGATCTGGGCCTTAAATTGCTTCTTGAAGGAGTTGAAAGGATGCTGAAATTAACGGCAAGGATTTATTTGTCCAATTTATTTTTTCACTTTTTTTCAGACCAAATCAAGGTGAATTTTCATTTCCTGCGTCAATAAAAGAATAGCCAGAAGGCCTCCAGAAAATTCGAGTTGGGGAGGTTCTTAAATATTTCTACGAGAAGTCAGATAGGTACTTGATCAAATTCTACACGAGGAGGTATTCAACTCGGGGAGGCTCGAATTATAAAGGTTCAACTCCTGTATTTTATTCGTATAAAATACAGGTGGACTCTCTCAACGAAAATGGAAGGACAAAAAAAAAAGCGTCGTAGAAATAATTTCGCTGTGGAGAACCCATTTGAAATGGAGAAGAAACCCCCTTGAGACCAAAACAAAATTCGTTAACCCGAGAAAAATCGTCGTTGACAAAATCGCTTTTGAGAGAGTCCACCTGTATGTACAGTATTTGTAGTAGATACGTCATTAAATTCATATCAAGAAAGTTGACAAAAATAATTGCGTTTACCCTCAGGGTATAACAACTAGAAAAAAACCGAACAAACCTCAGATTCCTGACCGCCGTCAGCATGTTCCATGTCTTGATTTTCCGCCGCAGCAGCGATTCTCGCGGCATTTATCGTTTCCGGGTCGTCTATAACGAACCCGCCGACAGCATACAACTGTTGCCGGACGGCTTCATGCTCCGGATTGCCGTCGTCGGGAATGGCCACGACGGTGTGTCCGTCTCCTGACGCATTCGGAAAGGCCATGAAAGTCATCGACGGCTCTTCTTCCACCGGAAGCACCGCATCCTCCAAAGTCATCTGCTGCTCTTGATCCTTCTTCATACCCCTGCTCTCTCGAACCTACAGAAAAAAAAAGTACCCCAATGTATTTCAGTTTCGTCAACACTTCGTCACGTTAACCAATGGCCTTTCTAAAAATTTTTGACCTCATTTCTCCTACGAAAAGAAAACAGCGTACCATCGGTTTATATATAAAAAAAAGTCAAACCCGACCAATAGATTCCCTTGAAAACTAAATACTGTACTCTATAATGCAAGAAGTAGCTCTATTTTCAGAAACCTCGCATGACTCATCAGCTGGTGGTGGCGTTTTCCCCCCAAAATCAAATAGAAAACATAGGGTGTGTATCATAAGCGGGTACACACTTCTTCGACATTTTATTAGCTTAATTAGGTGAAAATAATAATTATGTTATTAGTTTAATTTTATTAAATGGTCATAATACTTGATATTTGCAGAAAACTTTCAACAACTACTGTATCAACAAATAATTCATTCAAATAAACCCAAATTGAAAATTAAATAAATTTGAGTTCATTTCAAGTTGAAATTTTGATGGATTCTATTTTCAAAACTTCGTATTTTTTATTCACTAAAGATGGAGTGCGCGACATATTCAGGAGAAGTATTTTATGCCAATTTTATGACCAGAAAACCCGGTGCGCTTCTTAATCAAGGGTGCATGGTCACTCTCGTGGATAACGATAATTTCAAAATTAAAACTGCTCCGAATGAAATTCAACGAGAATAATTCGAAATTAGTGCAACAAAAATCACTCCACAAACCTCCTCTGAAATCTCCGGCCTCGAGCCAACGACGAACATGCCCCTAAGCTCAGGATTACCGCACTTGGTCCTTGGTTTGACCCCACCGTTGCCTTCCATCAACGGCGACAGGACCGAGCTAATGGGCGTTTTCTGGGCCGGGGTCACGATCGTGTTCTCAATTGACGATAACGTGGAGCCCACGTTGACGTTCATGAGTCCACTGAGGGCCACATCGTGCATGTTGGCAACTGCCGCGTCCAACAGCCCCGAGGTATCCACGCGACGGAATTGAAGCTGTCCGTCTTCGTTAATGTTCAACTCTATGTTGTGGTTCGTTCCAGCTCCTTCCTCGTCCAACAATCTGGAAATGGAAAAAATAAATGAATCCTCAGTCAAAAATCCCTATTTGCTCGGACAGAAATGAATCGAACACAAACTATTTTAAAAATGAGAACAGGACAAACGCAAAAATCCGTCCCCACAACACGAACAGAATGACAAAGGAAAACTTGTCATTCGTATTTTAAAAATTTGAAACGCCTACCTCAAAATCGATCAGAAAATAAAAAAGTCAGCCATTGAAGGGCAAAAAAAAAAACATGAAGGATAAAGGAAAACTAAAATGGATTTCTTCTAATGAAGCATTAAAATACCGGAACCAACCTTGCGATGGACGATCCAAGGACTTCATGCGGGGATAGATTCACATTGGGGTGGAACGTCGGAGAACGACGTTCGCCAACATGTTTAATGGCTGTGGGCCACTTGACTTCCTTTTTCGCGAGAGCTGAATTTTGCTTGATCCCTTTAAAAAAATTAAAAAAGATTTAGTTTTCAAAGTTACGCTGAAAGAACCAACAACTTTACGAAGCTAATGTCATGCTCGAAGATTTTTCGCGTATCAACAAAATTACGGCAATAAATTAGAAACTCATTACGAAGAAGGGTTTGGGACCTTGAAACGCTACATTAAAAACGAAAATTCTTTGAAAATGAATTGTTAAAAATATTGCGCTGAAATATCAAATTTGTTGAAAGCAATAATTTTCTACATATAACGAGAATCTGCTGGATTACTGACACATAAACACCGAATTTTCCCAGAACGATTCCAGCCGGCCTTCCATTCAATCAAGAAATTTCAGCTTCAATTGTCTTTGCACTCAAAGTTTTATTGTAATTCAGGCCGAGATATACATGTCATTCAGCGACCAGTAACGTAATTTTAGGTTCACGCTAGGAAAAACTCCCGGTTTGCAAGTTAATCGGCTCGCAAGGGATTTAGCCGAAGATTTTAAAAAATTATTTCATTTCATTCAATCCTCCTGAAGTCAAATAAATTTGAAAATTCGACGGAAATGAAAACATACCCTCCGCGTGCTCTTTCTCCATCAATCGGTACTCAATCGTGTACCCATCAGCCATGGTCACTGGCACAAGCTCGAGAAAATCGGGGATCTTTCGATCATGATTCCCGTAATGCCTTCGTTTTCCCAAGTCTCTTCGGCGATCGATCCCGGGTCGAGACCCCACGGAGTCGCCCGTGGGCGACGGAACGCGTCCAAACCGCGGCCGCGAATCGAAGGCGCGACGCGCGGGCGGAAATTTCGGCGGCTTTGGGGCGGCGGCGGCGCGACGCGAGTCGGCATCCGACTTGTCCGCCTTGACTCGCTCCGTGATGAAAAATGGCTTCGGCTTAGATAGCAGGGATTTATCGGGCTCGGGTTCAACGGGTTCCACCGGCTCCTCCACAGGTGAGTTTTTGAATGTGACCAGGACAACATTGCGGTTTTCTTGAACCTGCAATAGCGAGTTCAAAAATTGAACCGTTTTTATAATCAACGAATTTAACACTTGTAGTGGAAATTCTGTTACGCATCTAAAACCATGGCAAGGTAGAATTACATGGAGTGCCCAACTTAATCCAGACATACAAAACGCAGTCATTTATGCGTTGTGAAAGAAATATATATATGGAATAATGAAAAGTTTTGTATGGTTGACAAAATGTTTTTCATGCTCTTGGTCGAGTTGAAAATTGCAGTTCGAGGGCTGTTTCATACGAACTGATCTACAGCACCTTGCCGTCATTGAAGGCGGACACCAATTAGTTTCTTTTTCTCTTGAATCCTTCATCAGTGTCTAATAATGGTTTGACCCACTACCCAGCTACAGATGGAAACAAGAAAAAGATCTCACAGCCCTCCACTGAAGCGAAGTTTGATCAAGAGCACCTGCTGCACACTCTAAAAATTTGGGGGTTAAGTGGCCTAAGTGCAATTGAGTAGTTCTCAGGAATGAGAAAGCATCTTGGTGATGAAGCTCTGGGTCATGCAACTTTTCACAGATGGAAAAACGAATTTAAAAATGGCAATTTCCACATCAGCATTGCCCAAGGTGAAGTATGTCCCAAATGATTTTCAACCATCCAGTGAGGAAGGTATCACCTCGGTGGGGGCCCCAATTAAAGAGGATCCTTGCAAAACAAAAAGAAGAATTGCTTCTTTTAATCAAGAAGAATTGAGAATTAGCTGTGATACAGCGTAGAAAGAATGTTAAAAATGATCGTATTTCCTTATGCAGCATTAAATTCGCTTTGCATATAATTTATCCCACATCGTCCACGTTAATGAAAAAAATGAAACGGCAACAAGGTGGAAATCTTGCCAAGTCCATTTTCTCCCTTCGCTTGAGAGATAATGTCATGAGAAAATTTTGGCCGGTACATGACGGCTGGCGAAAAGCTCGACAAACCTTGACGATATCATCGATATTTGGCTTTTTTGGAGCAATCAAAGGAGGCTTCTTCACCACCTCGAAACCCTTCTGCTGTGAAGTGGCAAGGGTCGGGCAGAGATTTTGGTAGTCCACTCCCGGCTCAGCAGGCTCTAAAATAAATTCTTCACCAGGATCACCAACACGACTCCGCTTTGGTTGGCTTGACTCGAGATTCGGTACAGTTCTTTTCCTTCCTCTCGCAACACTCCTGAAAATACGACGCGCAAATAGAATAACACACACATACTGTACATTCATGCAGCCCTTCTTCAAAAAATCGACACCTGCTTTTAATCAAAATGGGTGCTTCATCTCGAACTTCCAAGGAACTAATGCCTGAACAGCTGGAATATTGAAATTGACTTTAGGAGAGAAATTGGTTCTAAAGAAAAAATAAAACATAATTACCACTGCGCAAAAATAATTTTCAAAAATTTATATATAAAATTTATTTTAGCCAATTAAGAACACGACATAGAAAGATATGCAAGAAGCACTCGCTTATGCTTCTGCCACATCAGAGTGTATCCTAGATTATCATTCAAAATGTTTCTTTCATGCGTTGGTCTCAAAACTAGCACACATAAAATTTAATACTACGTTAAACAATTCAAGTTTGAAGGAAAGTCTTATGAATCAGAGAACTGAACACAGAAAAGTATTTCCTAATAAGAATGTTAGAAAGCGTCCGAAAAAAAATGTTTCAGTCTTTCAGACACAACGACAAGAGTGCAGTATCATAATCTTGGGCACAAGAGAAATTTTACTTTAAATAATTTTGAATTGGGCCATGACTACAGTTGGTGCATGCCGCGTCTCTCTTTAAGAGATGCAGTACTCTAATTTTTAAATAAGCGGAATTTCTGGCGTACTGTGAAAGCAAAGACCATGGGCCTCAAAAATTATTTTTCGATGGAGGGGCCGACGAAAAAAAGAAGCGCCTTACTATCGTGCTTATACGGATATGTATATTATTTTATTGAAAAATATGGAGCACAGAATTTCAACAAAAATTGGCACAGTAGTCATGCGAAAATAAAATTTGAACTCGTCAACTCACACTTTCACAGTTTCCGAGGATGAAATTCCATCGCTAGGTGAATCTTCGTCAGCCGATACTTCCGGAGAAAATGGGGAGCTCGGTTTAACCCAACTTTTGACCAGTTCCATAGCTTTCAATTTACTCGATCGCCGTTTAGAATCATCCAAAACCTCAGAGTAAGTTTTGTGCACGGGTTCCGCTGGGGCCTTAAGCGTTCTAGTGACGTTTTTGTTCTTCGAGAGACTTTTTGCTTGAGTGGGCTTGAAGGAGATCGTTTTACGCTTCGTATAAACTGATCGCTTCAGGTCAGCTTCATGATCTTTTGGCATCACTTGACCCCAGTGCGCCTCAAACTCTGCGAGAAGTTCGGGACAGTCCAAATTTTCCGCGGGTTCCCAAGTGTTGTCACGGTCGGGAAACCCTTCCCATTTCAGAAGAAATTCGAAAGATTCCAACACGGGGTTGAAACGCTTGGCAATAATTCTCTCAACTTTGAACTCCTTCGTTTCAGGCGTGAATGTTTTCTTCTTCGGCTTCAGACGATCCGGCTTGCAATCAAACTTCTTGTGATTCACAAAACTTTCTACGTCTTGATACATAACTTTGCATTTACCGCAAACAAGGATGTCGGCGATCTCGGGATCATCACCACAGTTGCTCTCAATGTCAATTGCAGTTGGAGGATCTTGCGGAGATAAAGGCAGAGTATTGATACTGCTCTCCACCGTTTCCTTCGATTGAAAACCACGCTGAAGCTCGTCATTTTCGGCGCCAAAAATTTGCACAAGTCGAGCCTCAATGTCGTCTTCCGGGAGCAAAAGTTTATCTATAAGACAAGAAACCGTTAGGGTACTATCCTGTAAAAAAAAAAAAAAAAAAATGCGTCTTCAAGTTTCTAATTTCACCAACTGTTGGATGTCCCCTAAATTATCCAATTTCATAATGTTTCATTTTTCAGATATTGAGTCAAAATACATTGATTTCCCGGTTATCTAGGTGTTGAGATAGCACCTGAACACTAAATTTCATTACCCTAAATCAGGTTAGTTATACGTTACTTTTGGTTCGGTGATTAATTCGAATTAGATTCTACGTGTTACACTCGGACAAGTTGACTTCATTTTTCAGTCGGGTTCAAGATTACGTTAGAAGCTCGAATGTTCCAAAAACAGCGGTGAAGAAAAAATCCGCAGTAAGACCAAGAAATGTACAATTTTGAATATTCGTCGCTCGAAACTCAACATTTACTCTCACAAAAAGAAATTTTAGAATCTAAAATAACGTAAATTCAACTTTTAAAAATCACAAATCCTTACTTCACCAAAACCAAGAAGTTAAAGCACTGGTAGTAAACAATGATAAAATCTTTTAAATTTCAATCATATTACCTACGTACAGTGTATACCTTTTCCGTGCGGTGTCATCTCACCTGGTGAAGCTTTTGAATGCGAAAATGCGGACTCGGCATCCTGTGTGAACACGGATTCCAGAAGATTCGTCTTATCCGCGGTTTGTTTCGTCGACCCGCGAGAATCGGTTAAAGCATTATTCTCTTTCAGCATTTTGTTTCCAACAGGCTTAAGCGTGATCGCATCTTCAGCTGGACAATGATTCAATTGACTCTTCTCGTTACAGCTTTTTAGAAGTTTCGGGTTACTTTTCGGTGGGCTGACTTTCTTATACGTCTGTTCCGTTATCTTTCCGACTTTTGTGCCAATTGAATGATTGACACGATTCAGGTTGTCCCCTGATACACCAGTATCGGTATTCAACCGACGGGTCATCCGACGGGAAGCACTTGACAAAGAGGACGCATGGTCGGATGCGGCAGAAACTGACATACTCAATGATGTTCTAAAAATTGCACCAGCACTAGCACACGAACGCGTAAGTTCCACTTCTTACTTTCGTCATTTTTTCAACACAAAACTGCTGCACCTCTTCAATAAAAACATAATTTCAAAAGGAAGCTCGGCACGAAATACTTCAGTGCAATACAAAACCATTCTTGTTCCAACCATTTCCGGTCGATCAGCAGAAATTGATGAAAATGCAACAAAAATCGCATGAAAAAATGCAGTTTCCCGGTGCTCTTGTCTCCTCAATTACTAAACTGATGAATAGTTGATCGAAGCCCAAAACGCGAGAAGGGACAAAAACCGCAATGTTTCGTTGATTTTACGATTTTGCACTCGAAGTTTATCTCAGCCAGATTCGTCAGCCACGCGGGACGAGAAAGCAGTCAAACATTCACCATTATCAGATTAGCTGACCTAACTATTGGCAGTTATTGCAAGGGCTACCTTCACATGTGCCAAGAACCCTTCTCCTTGGCGCAAAATTTACCGAGCACACTCACATCCAAATTCCAACTTTACCCAAATTTGCGTCCAGAAGAATTACTTTTTCAACATGATAAATTCGGCGGTGGGCGTAACCACAAAACAGTTTCTTGTAGAGGGCGCAGTGGTACATAATGTACTGTACTGTATTGTATTTTACTGTGCTGTACAGTGCTATACACGTGATGTTTAAGTACTGTACGGTATAAAATGTGCTGCATCAGCTACTTATCTTGTACAATACTGTACATGTACGCTATTCCGGGAAGCTGCAAAACCAGCTTGACACTGCCACATTTTCAGTAGCTTAAATGGGCTTCACAGGATTACAAGATTAGCCAAAACCGGTGTTCTGCGGTATCCCCTGGTCATGTCTTCAAGCACGATTACTACCATATTCAATCAATGTTGATAGGCTCCCCTATTCCAGACTGTAAAGATTTCCTTTCTGGAACATGATTTGTAAGTACTTATGGTCCTTTTTGTTCTCAAATTGAGAGCGCATGAAATTTCGTTTCAGTCCTCTTTCCCGGGGGTGATTGATGGATGCATTTGAGAATTAAATACAATTGAAAAAAGTGCAGCTGGTCAAGCATTACAGCTGAAGTAATCGTTATGCATGAGCATCAGCTCTGATCGGTTTCTTTATAGTATATATCAGTCAATGTTGAGTAGTGTATCCAAGTTACGTTCGAGAATAAACGGCGAAAATTCATCTGCCTTTGTGATGTCCATGTCACTGGGAAAAGAACCCCTTTCATTTTATTGGATGCTTAATATGTTTGAGTTGCATGTTGGCAATCCCATTGGGTTACCATGCTTCTCTTTCCATGAATCAGGAGTGTTGCTTTCACAATCTCCGCGGTTGCCAGTGTTCAGCAAGTTGGAATCCTCGTCCGATTTCGCTTACACCGGATGTCGATTACGACCAGTTCGTCGGCTAAAGAACTTCTGAATTTGGGTTACAAGGATAACGGGGATTTTCTGTGTCACGGAGCGAGTTGTTTCGAGCGGAGATTCCGAGGCTTTGGCGGTTGTTTCATCAACTCTTCCATTCTCGGTGACCATCAAGTGGGGTGTTTGCCTTATATTTACAAAGAAAATTAACGAACACGCGAAATGAAATTTTTGGGTGCACTTGTTTCTTTATGCTCTCGACGTTCCCTCGCGATTCGTAGACCGCTTTCTTGCGCAGTCCAGGCTTACCCTTCGAGCCGTACATCGAAAAGCGGCGAGGTAACTTTGATCCTGATCTTGAGATTATTATCTTTGAGTGGTTAACTTTCCAATTTCAGATCAAGACTTGTTTGAGAAATCCTTCGCGAAAAATGTCGTACTGTTCATGGCGTGGAGAAGAACACTACCGGGACCATTTTGACGTCGGTGCGTTTTAAGTTGTACCTGTTCGTCTTTCCCATCTTTCATGTGCTGTGTTTTCCAATTTCCAGGAACTTACGTATGTTCGGAATGCTCTCATCCGTTGTTCACGAGTCGCAGTAAGTACGAACATTCGTCACCCTGGCCCGCATTCACAGAGACACTTCGGGCAGACTCCTTGAAGAAAGTTCTTGAGTCACCAGGAGCTCTGAAAGTACGCTGATTTCAGTTAATTTAGTTCTGTGTGAGAGGGTTTCACGTGCATGTTTTTCAGGTTTCCTGTGGAAAATGTGGAAATCCGCTGGGACACGAGTTCCTCAAAGACGGCCCTGATGGAAAATCTAGATTCTGAATTTTTAGTCACTCTCTTAAGTTTGTGCCCAAGAAGAGTAAGTGATTTTCATTTAAAATTTTCGGAAGAATAGGTGAAATTTCACACGGCAGTCTTATTTTTTTCAGCCAGCAGCGAATAAGAGAGTGACACGGAAGCATCATGAAAGACCTGTTACAAGGAAACCAGTTCATGATATCCAGTTTCAAAGCCGTGAGGTGAACCTGGATTGATGTTTTGCTGGATAAGAATGTTTTACGGGTCTTGATGGGTTATGTTGGGCTGTGACCCTTTTTACAATGACTTACGACCATCCAAATCTCTATTCAAGAGATGTCTACCAAGTCACAACATCAGACATACTTTGATGAAGGGTACACTGTAGAGAATTAAAATCTTCCTGCTTATTCAGCAGTATCCCCATTTTTCTTCTGGTGATTGGTCTTGGTGAGAAATATCATTCAGAAGCTACTTCAATTAAAAGGCAGGAGTGATTTGGAGTCTTTATACATCTGACAAACGGAATGGGGAGCTTTCAAACTTCGCAAGAATGCCTTTGAGTGCCTGTTTGATCGATTGGTGTGTTCCTGCAAGTGATGATAGAATCTAAAGAGATTTTTATTTATTAGTCCATTAATCGTTCATTGGTGAATTAAAGAAGATCTAGCAAATGCTTCTAATCTCTGTCACTTATGCTAGTCCATGAAACTACAGTGAGCCCCCAAAATGCAGAATCCACAACATATAAGGATGACTCAACTTGAGGACAGTTGCAAATTCAAAAAATTGGGCCCAACATCTGGACAATATTCTGTGACACAAACATTTTCTGAATTTCTGAAAAATTGTAAATTTTTCAATTTTGAATATCGCAACAAATTGAGCTATTTACATTCACAAAAGTTAAAGATGAACATTATTACACATTCACTTAAATTAATAACAAAACAGGTTAATTTTGTACGTTTTCAAGTCCTCTTCATACCAAAGGATCATTCTCTGTGTTGGTTTCTTTATTCTGAATAGTTATATTCTGTATCTGTAGGTTGATAAACACATTTTCTTCAGATTTTCGGGAATTTATTCCTAATTTTCCATAAACTGGAGAACCAATTAAATGAGTTCTCATTGAAGTCTATGGGAAAGCAGTGCACATCTCAGGGTCTCACTGTACTCTAGCATGTTCAATGAAGTTCTCATATACTTGCAAGTCTAGAATATCAATGAAGAGACTCTTGTTTATTGCATCCATTATTTAAACCATTCATTGATGCAGATGAGAGCAAGCATTTTTATAAATACAGTACTGTACTGTTCAGTTGAACCTCAATAACTTGAACCTACCTAAGCTGAACACCTTTCAAGGTCGAATTTTCTTGAAGTCCCTGTCTGAATTTCCTTAGAAATAATGCTCAAACAATTTCTTCAACTATAAGACTTTCCCCTTCAAATTTTTGGAGGCCTTGTTACTGCCATTTCAAGAGAAAAGCAAACATTTTAACTTCATGCTTTTTGAAAAGAAGTGGAAGAATAATAGGCAATTGAGCCTTTGCTGCCTGTGAATTTCTTTACAAAGCAGTTTTACACCAAAAGATCACTAAGTTCAACTTCCATCAATTCTTCTTAATCCCAAGACAAGAGATTTTTCAACTTGAAACCTTGCTCAGTTGATTTTTGCTGGTCCCTTGGGATTCAATTTAAAGAGATTCAACTGTGTGTCCAACAACAATACCATGACTTCCAAAATTTGATTCAGTAAATTATCTATTGCCCAATTCTTGAAATCAAATTAAAAGTTCGGAAGAAATTTCGAGAAGTGCAGCAACACCCTTTTAATTTTCAAGAACTTTGTTTTAAATTACAGATAATTAAGCAGTGATCCTATCCAGAAATGAAACACAGTAGAATGGAACTGGATTGTTAAATAGGTATTTTCCCCCAATGAAAATGCACTCACAAATTCCCAACCACCAATAACACAGAAATTAAAAACTCAGAAGCACACATTTGGAAGAATTCAGGCAGTCATCAACAAAGGTCCCTTAAAAGCTGGAAACCTGTCCCAGCACCCCCATGTCATTTGTCTTTCCATCAGGAGCAAACAAAAATAAACTCTGGAAAATCACACCATTTAAATATATGGAATTTCTTTTGCTTTGAGCCTCAGTGCTTTGGCCTTGTGTTGAGGTAAATGAAGATTCCGATCAGGACCCAAAATCCAACGAATATCGGCAGGGCGACTCGCAATGCTTTGTGCTGATTTTCTGGGGAGAAATCCTGTTTTCGCTCCTTTTTCTGCCTCGGGGTCTCCTTTGGCTTTCCCTTCAGCTGCCTCATTTTGTCGAATTCGCGGAACGAAAAATCACACACCAGTTTCGGGATTCCCCTCTGCAACGCGGAAAGCACAAACGACTCCATTAAAATACCTCGTACTCGTGCATCTCTGAAGAATCCGCCTTCAAAGTTATAGTCAAATACGCTAATCCAATGCACAACTGATTTCCAGACACTTGCTTCCGAAAATTCACTTGTTTCAATGGTTGACCTCCTGGACTAAATTAATGAGTTTCTTGAGTAACCATCATAGCCAACCTTTCACACTAAAAATATTCAACATAATTTACAATGAAAATGTGATTCAAGACAATTGAGACGCTCATAAAACCATATTTACTCAAGTACCACACACCCTCGAGTAGGACAGGCATTAGAGTTTTCCAGTTGAAAACTACATAAGATTGTAGATTGCTTTTTTTGTTAAAATTTAAATACAACACTGCATAACGAATTTTGAACTTCGAAGTAACCCGTTGGGGATTTAATTTATGTAGCATAAATAATTTGTACAACAGAGCTCATCAAGTTCATTTTATCGACTGAGAATTGTTCCCCAAATTGTGAAAGTTCCTTTCTTCTAGTCAGGAGGACAGTACTTTTAATCATTGATGTCATTCTGCATAATTTCTACTTTCCCTAGAGATGCTGTAAAAATGCTAACTGACGAAGAGCAATTTCGTGCTCAAATTCCACACGATTGATCCCAGCTTCCAAAGAAAGCAGGAAGTTCCGGAATCAAGTTTTGCATTGGCCTAAAAAAAAAGGACAATCATTCAACAACGCGAGGTGCAAGTACAAAGCTTAACAATGACTCAGTGATCACCTTTATCCTCCCATGCTAAAAGAACTCCTGGCAAAACCAGCACAGTAAAACAAAACTTAATACTAGACACGGAGTTCAAACTCTCACTTCTTCCTAAGCTAAAAAATAATGCGAGATTCAAAAAAGCCTTCAAGTTCCTCCCCCACAAACCGGGGCAACAAACAGGGAGCAAGAAAGAACAGGGATATTGCACACAGGGACGTGGGGAAAAAACAAAAACTGGGAGTGAAATGGCACAAGACACAACTTTGATCGCGCAAACGCTCCTCCCACCGGGTTTCCGAAAAATAAACAAAACACAAAACAAAAAGCTGCATCACAGGGAGGAAGGCATTCGTTTCTGCGCAAAAAAATAGAGCCATCAGTTCCACAGAAGCGTGAGCGTGGATAAAACAACCGAAACAGCAATCGACGGCGAAATCCTGCAAGAAAAGGACCGTTCCATGATCCGCTGTCTGTTGAGCATGGAATTTATGCTGTTCATGTGGCGTGATATCGCAGCCTCGGTTACGTTGTCGTTCGGATTCCCTGAAGAAGGGTCAAACGAAAGCACCATGCAGGGTTCGTTGTCGGGCGTGTACTTGAAATCATTGTCCCACACCTTCAAAAAATGAAACGGAATTTTGAACGCATTTTCGAGAGGTTCCGCACCAGTGTCAAATAACTGCTAAATTCCGGATGCCCGTGCCAAGGGCACAAAATGAACACATTCCCAAGCATCGCCAATGAAATTTTCATGATTTTTACAGGTGGATTTTTGGAATAACTTCAAAAGAATTTTAAAAGCTAGGAACCTATCAAATTTTTCGGGCAAACAAAATTGAGGCACAGTACAAGTGAAGTCCATTCATCCAAAAATCTCATCTTCAAAAAATATTCCCAATCGCATAACAAGAGAATGGATCAGAAATAATTTTTCAAAACGAATCTACAGTACTTGAAAAAAAATTTGAATCGCGTTACAACGTACCATCGCTTCCAACAAAGTCGTTTTTTACGTCCCTGCCCAATGCCCACAATGTTATATGAGTTACTTACTGTACAGTATGACCAATTTTCCATTACGACGAAGCTATTTTACTGATCCCAATGGCTTCGTTGTAACGAGATTTCTCTCTATTCGTAACACATGATGAATTTTCATGGTGATTATGTAATCAGATACTAACTCGAGCATCAGCAATTTATATTGATATTTTTTTCATTTTCGAAAAGTGTCACACTTTGTTTTGGTTTCTTCGAATTCCGTCGAAACTACGGTAAATTCTCTTCATCAACAAATTTCCGAAACATACTGCCAAAAATTAAACCGAATTTTCGTCCATAATTTCTCAGGGAATCCCAAGACAGGTTTCGTGACCTTGGCACCAACGCAGCTTGAATATATCTATACAACGCAACATATCGTCACAAGTTCGTCGAACACGTATCAATTTCCAGCTAAACTAATGGGCTACATTCAGAAACTGATCCTGCAACACTCATCAAATAACGATTGAAAATTATAAGATTTGAAACGCAAAAAAATAAAAAGAAACTCACCGTTTCGCAGAAATCTTTAGCATCGGCATAAGTATCACGGATCAGTTGGCATTTGGCATTCTCCGGACAACGATTCGTCCCTTCTATCCAATCAAACTCGGAGCCCCAGTTTCGCACACAGGTTAGGTCGTCTTTGCAGGCGTGGAACCAGGCTTCACACTCCGAAGCACACAGCGGCACATTCCTGAATCGCTGCTGTCGCGATTTTCTCGCATATTCCTGAAGTAAAATGCTGCAGTTTCACAGGGGTGCTCAAGTAAATACTGCGCATAAATAAAAATGTCATAATTCATGCCAATTTTTTGGTTGTTGGAGAAAATGCATCGAATGAAACTTTCAATGCGGCCTGGATTCGAGATGTATAGGCCGCACCTGATTCTCGCCCGTGATTTTCACAGGAGATGAGTAGATAATCTCACCCTAATGGCGTTTATTAGAGCTTTTGCAGTTCTCGTAAAATTAGTAAGATAAATAATGCGCGAAACACTGCCTCACTTCCCGCCCAATGGGTCATCCATCACAAGTGACTGAAAATAATACAGTAATTTCTATCGAGTAATCTTGCACGTCTTTCCCGAACACAGAACGCATTCAGACCAAATCTTTTTTGCTGCCTTCACGATTTTTTCGTGTACAATAAACCCCATTTTCAGGGTGCGTAAAAAGTGCATGGATTTGTAAAGATACCCCCCCCCCGTGAAAATAACGTCGTGAGAAAAATAAATTGAAACAAAAATAATACGGCAATAGAGATGAAAATGAATGAATAAATTATTACCATCCCCGTAATAAATTGGTCAGCAAAAATACTGTAGTTTACAAATGCTTCCTTGCATTCGAACTTCGCTTGAATTTTCAGTTTTCAGTATCTATTCACATCAGATCACGTTTTAAACGTCCTACTGAAGATTGAACGGTTTCCAATGACTACATTAGACACTCGATTCCCCCATTTGGGATGAGATCACATTTTCCGGAATACCATATAAAATTCATTTTTCGAGGCGAACGTCAGAAATGATGTATATACTGGTATTGAAATCGAACTACTATGTCGAACGTTTCAAGGGACCAGCAAAAACATGTCAGGGAAACAATAACTTCGGTTGGGGGAAAAACAGAAGAATTGCAGGATATTGTAATCGGTGATACTACAGTATGGCTTTAAATTGCTTCATGGATGAGTTGACAGAATGCTGAACTTCGAGGCAAGGGTGTATTTGCATGAATCTCAAACTGAATCACGTTACATTTTTTATCGCTTTTGTCTTTCCTGTGTCAGTAAAAAAAAAATAGCCAAAAAGCCTCCAGAAAATTCTAGGAACAGAGGTTTGAGGATGAAAGCCTTTGAGTTTGGGACGTTTTTAATGCTTTGTTTCTAAGGGAATTCAGACAACGACGTAGAAAAGAAAATCTGCATTACAGGGAGATACGTCATTCGACTCACGAAGTTCGAGTCATGAAGTGTACAAGACCAATCCCAACTCTCGGATTTTTATAATGCTTAAAACGAACATTTTTAAGAATTCAACGTGGAAAAAATGCAGCATTTTTTTTTCCTTTGACTGATGTGCAAGACATTCTCAAAAATCTCACCCACGAATTCAACCCACGGCCCAAGGTTCGGTATTCGGCTCAAGAAGTTCGATTTATGCAGGTTCAACTATATAAAACCAAGTCCCAACTTCCCTTTTTTCATAATCCTTAAAACGAGCGTTTAAAAATTCAGCTTGGAAAAATACGGCAATTTTATTTTATTTTTCGTCCCTCACTCAATGTGCAATGAATGCTCAAAAATCTCACTCACGGATTCAACCCACGGCCCAAGAATTCGGTATTCGACTCAAGAGGTTGAGTTACGATAAGACCAACTCCCAACTTTCACATATTCAAAATCGTTGTAACAAGCGTGAAACAATTCGTTCAATTTTTTTCATTTGATTGATGTGTAATGAATTCACAAAAAAATCTCACTCACGAATTCAACCCACGGCCCAAGGTTCGGAGAACACTCGTAAAAGCAGAAATCCCGCCGGAAAAACCTCAGACATTCGCTGGACACTTGCGGTGGACAATGTCGGAACTGAAATCCATGCCAGACCTTCACGTTGTGGTGGATGAGCTTTGACACAGTCGCGTTGCAGCAAGATCTTTCCTTCCACGGGGAACACTAGAGGGAAACAGACAACCAAAAAAAAAAAAAAACCGGTTCCCCGAGGCCAAGATGATGAAATCGTACTCGCATCATTAAAGTTCTTTTTTCTCTCTCTCTCTTCAGCACTCACTGATCCTGAACCTACGATTAATACTCCTTGAGAAATTTTTGAAAAAATAATTGGGAACACAATTCGGTAAGATTTTTGGAATCAGGATAAAAATGAATTCAATCTCTAGAGCACCAATGTCTCATGAGACACACAAAATGTAAACTACTGCACTGTACTGTAGGTTCTTTCTTGGTTAAGCTGCTTCAGCACTGATGCGCCCATTCGTCAACCTTCCAACCAAAGAATACGATTAGACTAGGTTTTGTTCGCTCAGTTTTAAATTTAAAAATGAAACGCTTGTACAAAAATGATCAAGGACACTAACCTCAGAAAACAACTGTGGTTCTGGGCCGGGTTGCGGCTTGTGATAATCGGAATCCAGGCACCAGTTTCGCAAAACGTCGGGACTGTCCGACAGCTGTCCCCAAGTAAACCCTATCAGACAACAGCCCCAGACCGAAGCCAACAACGCGTTCCAACCTTGGAACATCGCCGTTTCGAACTCACAACCAATAATGAAAATGCTGAACACAACAAAGGAGACAGGGGAAGAAAGCTTTAAAGAAACTTGAGGTGCCTGCAAACAACAACAACAAAAATCAATCAATGTCGAGACAATAAAACAAGAAAACATCCGCACAAAAAAACAAAATAACACAATATAATAAACCAAAGTTCCCCAACCTTTTCGGGCCCGCAGACCAGCAAATTTCCCAAACATTTTCTGCAGACTTGGAAATGTTTGCAGACTCGAAAAAGTTTTGCTTGGAAGACTTCATGGCAGGTATTTAAAAAGTGTCTTCTTTTTTGCGACACACAAATTAAGAACCAATAAAGCAGCCATAGTGGAATGTCTTCAAAACTAAAAAATTACAAAGATGACTTGAATAAACTGTTTTCAGAATAAAAACTTGAAATAATTTATTTAAGCAAATTTGTCTGAATCGTTATTGGGATAAAAAGCCAACTCATATTTTCCATCAGATAATTTCAACAACCATTGTCTCAAAGACAGTAGACTTCATTGCTACTTAAAAAAATTTCATTATGCCAAATTAAATTTCCCGCGGACGGGAAAAATTTTTTTCTGCGGACCATTGGTTGGGGAACACAGTAATAAACCCAAAAGAAGTCGTCAACCATACAAACTTTCATTGCAATAACGTTCCAACACTCCAAACCAAGAATCTTCTCATTAAAACCACGACGAAGAGAAAAGCTAATAGGGTACACTCGAAATTTCTCTAAAAAGCACACTTTTCAAGTTTTAACACAACCTCGAAATGCCTCGCACATCCGAGACCAACCGGCAACTAGACTCCTGAACACGTGGTTTTCCTCAAAATCGTACGATCACGCGAATGAACACACAGAAAAGAGCCAATTCGTACAGCATTCCAGGGGTTTCTTTGAAAAGCCACTGTAGACGACTCGTTTCTTCTCAGAATTCTCGTTCCTTTTAAAATTCGACCCCTGGCGTCTGTTAATACCACAAATTACACACACAGGGATGATTGAAGTCATATTTTCGAGACTATTTCATCACTCATTAGAACATAAAGCAATCAAAATTCGATTCTTTCGCACAATAAAATTCAACAGATTTTCCCCGAAGTAATTGAAAGAGACATAAATTGAGGTAGCATTAATCACAAATATGGAACAGAAGATCAATGAATTCATCTTCGAGGATATTATTTCTTCAAGAGAAAAACCTGAGATATATTACTAAAATGTGCGAACGAGAAAAAGCGTAGTGTATCGGTAAATCTCAGGACTTCCATCTCACAAATGCGCAGCAAATTCATTTTTAGTATGCTCATTCATTTTTATAAAATCAAGGAACATCAGCTTCACATAGTTGTGGTTCGGTAACTTGTGCATGGCGCTCAATTTGTTATTTGCAACACTGATTAGGTATGTATGAGATGCTGAAAACCACACTCACACATGCACTTTTTTTCCACAGAAAAAAAAAATGAGGTGAGCGTCATAGTTGGCACAAATTTTCAAGGGAAATTCTTTCCGAAGTGGGAACTAGACTTCCTGCTTCCATAAAAAAAATGTCAACGCCGTATTTTTGATGATTCTATGCTTTGCACTGAAGAATACACCATAATCGAATTTAGCTTTCAACTGGGCTTGACTTCAGATTTTTACCCAACATAATTGTTCAAATGTGAATTTCGGTAACTTGAAACCAAGGTACACGTCTCATGCAGGGATACACTTCTTTTCCAAAATTGTCGGTAAAAATGTCTTAATTGAGGGCACGAGGCAATATCATGATTGATTGAGTAATTATGATATTACTTTGGTGAAATGCTTGGGCATTAGGTTGGGCTAGTTTCAAGTCTGGCAGTAAGTAAGGTAAGGTGGACTTGAGTAGAGTAGTCATGAAACTTTGATCTAGAATGTAGAGCGTAATTCATTCAACCCAACTTCACACGCAAATTTCAAATTTCATTGATTAGTTGAACAGTAGTTAGTACTCTTAGTAGGGTAGGGTGTTACTGTAATTAGGTGAAGGTGAGTTATCTATTGGGTCAAGTGCAACTCACAGAAGTAGGATGGGAGTTTGAACACATAAGTTGAGTTTGGTCTCAAAAAGCGAATTTTTTTTATCTAGTTGAGTACATTTATTATGCACACCATTTTTTCTCAAAATTTAGGTTGCGTATACATTTAAAAAAAAATCCAAAAGCTTAAGTGTGCATTATATTTGATTCTCATGGAAAATATTGGACCATTTTCAACCAAAAAACTCTTTGAAAAAATGTTCATGGAAAAAATTGAAAATTAGTTGAATTGAGGTTCAATTAAAATCTAAATTCAAATTTCTGCGTTCTTATTTTTGAAATATTGAAGTTTTAAAATAACTAAAAATGGGGAGCGCGTCTTACTTGGGGATACGCTTTTATGAAAATTTCAAGACAGAAAAATGTGGTTTCGCATCTTACTAAAAGGTTTATGGTACTCATTTAAATACGGTAAAAACAGTCGAAAAGATTTATCTGTTTAAATTAAAGTCAAACTTCGACAAGCCGCCATTCTTGAGGTTTTTGGCAGTTGCACAGGGTCGGTGGTTCATCAAAAAGCCAAAATAATATGAAAATAGAGTACTGAATAATAGGAAATAAAATTATTTTTCTTCTAGAAAACGATAAAAAAAAACTCGGGAGGCATAAATTATATTTGGCTAATGTTCCCAAGAAGTAAATTACGTCAGAATTGTGTATGTTGTGTTCTTATTTTTATTGGAAACCCCCCTCACAGTATCTCGAATCATGTTGGCGGACTATCGATGACAAAATTAATTGGCAGATGATTCGTCATTTAATTTTCGACAGGTGGCGTTTTAACGGGGTTTCCCATGCATTTATGAAAAGTGAACATTTGCTTTTCTTTTTCTTCAAAAAAAAAAAGGAGGTGCTTGCCGAAGGTGGCGGCTCATCAGGGGGGCGTCTGTACGAGGTTCGACGGCATTACGCAGCCAAATCGGAATCCGAGCTGAGCAGCGGTTCCCTTTCCATCACATCCGTTTCCCCCTTCCTCGCACCACAACACACGTAAAAGGACACAGCACTCAAAGCCACTCCGCAGCAGAACAGTCCAACAACCGTCGATTGCCAGGCAAACCCATAAGCATCACTCAAAGCAGCACCGACAATCGGACCAATGACTTCCCCGGCGCTGAATAAACTTTGCCAAAACCCAGACACCAGTGAATGCAAGGACAGATCGTCCGCGTAGCCCATAGCAATGGCTTCTTCGTTGAAATACGATATTGACGGCACGAGGGCCAAGGCGGCACCCAAACCATGTATCACAAGACATATTATGTTCCACCACAGGGAATTCTGCAAGAAGGGTAACACCGGCGTGGGGCCTATGAGGACCAGCGAGATCCCAATCAGCCCGACCCCCGAGACCATCATGATCCATTTCCGATTTCCACACCTTAGAGAGAGGGAGAGATAGAGGGAAAGAATGTTTCGGGGATCGATGCCATAACCGGGTGAGAAGGAAATTGTAATTTACACAGCCTGAAACAAAAATTTAAAAAATACTGTACTACCGGATCAAAGAGAATAATGAACCACAACACTTAAACTGAAGTACTGTAACACAAAACCGGTTGAAATCGGTATTATCCTCAATAGTAGCATGTTCAGGTTGGACAAAGCTTTCCGTTTTCAGAAACAGGAAGAATTCCAAACAAAAATGAATTTTACGTAATTACGGTATCCAAGCAAGCAAATACGTGCCAAAAACGTGTTTTCCAAGAATGTAGGACCTGTCAGAACGGTATGAAGCAAATAAGTTCGCTTCAAGAGAGAATCATGGGGAAATAAAAACGGGCACTTCTTCATGATAATTCAAGCTAGGTTTTCGTTTCATGTAAAAACAATTTAAAGGAAGAGTGGGATTTTTGAAGAACTATGATTAGGTTAAATAAAAATTTCAAACTAGGTACACATGTTAGGCCAGTTGCAAGAGTTAGGTTAAGTAAGGTACAAATATTTTAGCCCAGGTAAAAATGTTTGGCCAGTTACAAGTATTTGATAAGTTATGTGCACAGATCAGGTTAATTCAAGTGTAAAGGCTGGATAAAGTACAGATTAGGTTGTGAACAAAGGTTAGTTAGGAAGGTCAAGTTAGGTAGGAAGGTTAAGTTAGGTAGGAAGGTTAAGTTAGGTAGGAAGGTTAAGTTAGGTAGGAAGGTTAAGTTAGGTAGGAAGGTTAAGTTAGGTAGGAAGGTTAAGTTAGGTAGTAAGGTTAAGTTAGGTACAAAGGTTAGGTTAGGCACAAATTTTGTTAAGCCAGGTACAATCTGTACAAAAGTTAGGTCAAGCACAAAGGTTAGATTAGGTCCCAAGGTCAAGTTGGGAAAAATATAGGCTACTTACAAAACTGACAGGATGAGTTTGCCTAGAGTTAAATTACTGCAAGACAGATGATCAAATATTGTATTCAAAATTCAAAAATATAACATCCATACTGTACACTACTACTGATTACTGAATAATGAAATGGAATCATAGAATTCCTGAAAGTCATAAAAAATGTGTTCAGTTGAACCTCTTTGAGGAAAACCTCCCATCATAAATTATTCACAGTGCCTGTCAGAATTATTATAAGAACTATTGGATATAAACATCCCTAATTTCAAGACTTCCCATCAACTCAACTTTGAGAAGCCTTCGGGCGACAATTCAGGAAACCCAGGAACGGAAAATCAATCAGAAGAAATGTTTCCAGCAGTAAATGAGGGGCTAATTGCCACCAAGTGTGGCATCCTTCAGTCACGTTTAGAGCAGTTCAAGGCCCTGAATATCACCAATTTACTGTCAAGTACTTTTTTTGTATCCCCCAGCAAATAAGCTGGTTTCTCCAACTCAGAAACTCTCTAATTCGAATTTACCTGGGCGTAAGTAAATCACTGTTAAAATTAATCAGGCCGCCTTTGTTTCCCCACAAAATACTGTCTCACTTACTAGTAATAAGGATAATAAAATATACCGTGTTATATCAGAAAATCATGAAAAACATGAAACAGCATACTTGTACTAACAGGACAAGAATTGCAAATGAAGGAAACCAGAACAACTCACCTATCGGATAATGCGCCAGTGAATAACCCGAACACGGATGACGAGGCAGTATCTACAAGAAACACCAGCGCAGCTTTGCTTTCACTCAATCCAATCGCCATCACATGCGGCTGCAACGTGGGATACAAGCAACCCAGTCCAATCGACATCGTCGTCACAAGCACAGCCCCAAAAATCATCCTGGGATCCTTCAACAACTTCCCACTCGGCGCAGGTTTCACGCCACAAGTCCGGTCCACCGGCACAAAAACGATGCTCGCCAAAGACGTCAACAAGAAAACACAGCCCGTGACAATAAAGGGCAACTTATAACCACCTAACGCGTACAAAGAACTGCCTAACACGGGTCCGGATGTCAAGCCCAGACTAAGAATGACTTCTCCGATGGCCAGCACGGCTCCAACGTTACCCCGGAAATACTCGCAAACCAGAGCGAATATCGCAATATTGTACAACGCTGCTCCAAGGGCTTCGACGCTTCGCACAGCAAAACACAACACTGCGAAAATGACTCCATCTTGCACTTCGTCCAATATCCCAAATAGCACGCAGCAATACGCCGCTGTGAAGCTTCCCGCGACGAGGCCGAACTTAGTTCCGATCACCGGTAAAAGCTTCCCGAAAACAGGCGAAGCAAGGACAACTATGAAAGAATATACGCTGAAAACGAAGCCTGACGTCGCTGTGCTCATGCCCTTCTTTGCAGCTTCGGAAGGGAAGAACGGACCGATCATGGAAAGGCAGCAGAATGTGAAGAAGTCCAGCAAACTCATCCCGACGATAAGCCGTCGATGCGAAGAAGGGACATTCCGCCATACTTGCAGGAACGACACAGTTGAGCTACCAGAAGATTCTTGCATTATTCACACACATTCCACCTCATTCTCACCCTCACGTACGCGCGAGAGACCTATTCAATAAAAATAGTTTCAGAGAATCCATTCCGAGTATTGCACTCACAGCTCTGCCTTTTTCCGGGTAATATGATAATCACTCATAAACATATACGTCGATTCTCATTGGGTGCAACGCTGGCAATTCAGAAATTTCGATTTTGTACAAGCATTAAATTCATTCGAGTATAAATTTATTTTGTTCCCTTCTGCGCGTTATCAATCATGCACATTTTCGAAACGGCAACCCTGGAGCAGAAACGGAGAATATTCAAAATGGTGCGCTGAAATCCGGAATATCATGACCAAAAAAGGCGAATTAAAATTAAATTTCATACAAGAACTGAAGAACCCCAGCGACCATCACACGGTATTCAGATCCGAATTTTGCAGGTTGCTCACGCGCTCTTAATATCTGTAATCATATGATCGTTAAATTCTTTCTGAGTAAATTGTGAGAGCGAAAAAACAAGAAAAAATCCAGGCATCCCCAAAATATAATTATTACCGCATTAAAAAAACAGAGGGAGGGTTGTATCTTTTCCAGGCGAATGCCACAATATTCCACTCTATTAATAATCAAGACAAGCATCGTTCCCCCGTGGATTCCACATTTAATTTGTATCCATATTATTTTGATAAACAATGAACCTTATATAAATGATGCCCCGACTTCCTTACACTTTTCAGCCGCTTTCGGAAACTCCCGCATCCCTCTCTTGCGCGTCCGAGACTTTCTCCGGAAAATTTCCATTTTTAATTGAATTGCGTCATAGTCGTCCTCGATAAAAATTTTACGTATATGACGTAAAACTTCGACCTCGACTTGTCAACATGTGCGCGGTTACATTTTGCGCATGAATAACCCCAACTAGACACGTATGTAAACATTCCTAATATTCAGAAGAAAATTTGAAATCGAATTGCCTTCGCCAACCCATATTTCGAATAAAGTAAAACCCGATCAAAATTGAATGCTCACAAGAATCCATCACATTATTCCAATACAACAAAAGGCATACGCCAAATAAATTCACTACTTCGAATTTTGCATGTTAACAGAGTAACCACCAGTTTTAGGATCTTGCGTTAACTGGAAGTTATCGGTGGATAACCCGAATGGTCTCAGCACCAAGTTTCCGAGGTCTTTGAGCTTCGACATCATTTCCGTCTTCAACTTTTCATTTCTTTCATTGATTCGTTCCGGGAGACGGCGACAGGCTTCGAAACATTCTTTGTTCCTGGGATCCATTTTTATCAAGTGTTCGTAATCTTGCAATGCCTCCTCAAGCTTCTCCGCTTGCTCCAGAACTTGAGCACGTTTCAGTCGAGCTTTAAAATAGTTCGGATCCAATTCAACTGCTTTCGTCAGATCTTTGATCGCCTGATCAGTCTGATTTAACCTAGACTTGCAGGCACCCCGATTTTGGTAAATAATAGCCCGGTCTTTGCTGAACTGAAGTGGACACATGCGCAAGGCGTCGGAATATGCCTGGATTGCGTCTAAGTACTTCTCTGACAAGAAAAGCTGGTTTCCATCGCCCTTCAATTTTAAGACTTCTTCGTGAGCAGATTTTATTTCCGATTCTGACCATGACTTCTGGGATTCTCGGATATTGTCTTCGTTAATATCGTCTTCAATTATTTCCTCAACTTTCGAATCGTCAAGATTTTCTTCATCTTCCAAGGCTTGTTTCTGCGATGTATGGAAATTATCAATAAAATTTATAACTCATACAGTACTTTGTTTTCCGTTTATTCACCAATGTATCTCCTTTGAATGGATCATTCACGTCGTTCGAGTTTGAAGCTGGTTCGCCTGATCCCACCTCCTCCGAGGCATCCATGAGTCAAGTTGCTAAGAATGATTTCGATAATTCGCAACAGACTTATTCACCGTGTAACACACGCATTCACGGAGTTCAGCTTCACTTTCTGAAACTGCGCACGTATGTGTAATTTACCTGAATACAAATATAAAATAATGCACGACTTCGCCGGTCTCAAATTTTTACAATAATTCTTCTGAACAACGCCAAAATCCGAACGTAGCACTTTCGGCACTCGGATTGCAAGCACTTCGCACAGAACTGATCCACTTCTTATTCAACAGTGCACAAATAACTAACGGTAGCACAACGTGGCATAAAGAGCCCTAGCATTAGACAGACAAGTCGGCCGGTATCGGCAAAACAACGGTGTCACGCTCTCGCAATGATAATGTTCGAAATAATCGGAAAGGAATACAGTACCGCATTTAAGCGATCATGGGCAACCGTTTTCCAACAAAAACAGACATACATAAGATAGCGGAAAAACTTCGGGCGCGGCCAATTTTTGAGATACTGTACTTAAGAGGCCAAACTGACTATACGATGTGCCAATGCTTATTTATAGTACATAGGTTCGACAATATGATGTCGAGACAAGGAACTATACAGCAGACAGAATTTCCGACATCGTTGAATAATTACCCAGATTTTCCACAGGCTACTGTACTTATTATTACTTTTTATCTAGTTCGATTATTTCGCCACATCACTGCTTCGCGAAAATGTACGTCCACTCCCTTATCTTTTTGTCGTTTACATGGATTTCATAGACCACAATGCGATGGCGTTACACAGCAAAACCTTCTAAGCGAGCATGAACCGTGCTTCCTTTTCAAAATCATAATGCACTCAATCCTGACATTTTTTTTAGCTTAAATGGCTGCCTAGTACGAAAGTATGGGCTGCAGTCACTTGGTACGGTACTGTATTTCAATTCACGTAAATCTCCGAAAGATTCCTGTTCACGAATAGCCACACTTCCGGTACGAGTCCATGCTGCACGACTTGGCCCCGGAGGAAACCTTGCGTAGTTGACCTACTATCCAGCCAAGTGAAACCCGAAATTCTGAGCCAAATTTTGCGCTCCGTGATGCATAGATGTCAGTCGCAAATCCTACGTTGCAGACAAGGTTGTGACGTCATTCAAGTTCGTCCCATTCTACAGAAGTGTAGTCGAGACTAGGGACTATCTGGGGTAATCAGGAAACAATTCCAATATGAACTCTTAGCTCTTACCAGAGCGATTTCGCAGCAACCAGGCTCCACACTGTTTCCCTCCTGAGATAGTTTCAGACACAGGATTTCACAACAAGGTTTCCAGCATTTCCCATCCTTGTCCCTTCCACAGCACCCCTGTCTGCAGCACTCAAATGTTTCCCATCCTACAGCAGAGTTTTCAATTGCATTACTCCTGATACCGAACTTTCTTGGTTTACACAGATGTCCAAAAACCTCGGGAACCTTCGCAGTTCTGCTCCAGCAATAAACTATACACAACCTCAGGGGATAAACCAAGAATGTTGAATTTTTGTAGTACAGAATCAATTGTCAACCAATTTATCTGGCAGTTCGAGGTACTGTATACAGAATATCACCAATTTTGCCTTCCAGTTATTCATCTTCCCCAACCAAAAATGATAGTTTCCCTACACAGGTATGACTTCAAACTCCCCCAGTGAAATGATGTTTTGTGGGTCCCTCAGAGTTCAACTTGGAGGGGTTTTTCTGTTCATAATTTTCCAAGTACAAACATTTTAACACAAATGAAAGAGTTCAATTTTTGAGCAGCATTGATGACATACTGACATTTGAAGTGGAAGATACCAAATCATCTCGACTTTCAACTTTTCAAGACATAAATCGACAGAAACATCTTCAGCGTAAAAAGCTAATTAACGCAATTGTAACCTGAAGACTCCAGGGTAGAAAAAAATATCTCAATTGGATTTGCTCACCACGAGAAACCCCAGCAGGATGTTCTGCATTCAGAGTCTTACGGGGTGGGATCACTTGAAAACCCAATTCAGAACTCATTGATGTTTCCTTAGTTCAAAATATCGTATCTTGTTCCTTACCGATAATTCTCGGAAGATTCGCCAGCAAAACGGGATTAGATAGGAATCCCATAGCACAAACAACGAAGAGGACCAGCCGGAAATCACAGCAGAACATATCTTTAAAATTACGAACTTCCGAAACAAAAAAATCGAACGATTCAAAAACTCCGTGGCTTACACGTTTCATGATATTTCTCCCTGAATACCATAACGCTTTTTTCCCACGTTCAACAAACTTAATTACTGTAATAAAATCACGCTCGGCGTTCGCATGAACACTGTATATTACGAACTAACAAACTGCGAAATTTGACGGCACTCAGACACGGCGAAAAAAAAGCACCCGAATACTCCCGCAAATTATCACTTTGCACTATTGTCCAACAGGTCCTTAGCTTCATTGATTTTGGCAGCAATGTAAGGCGAACCACCGCGATCAGGATGGTTGAGAACCATGATTCGCTTATGCGCTTCTTTGATCCTGCGCTCATTTGAAGAAGGTGAAATTCCTAGAATCAAAGCGGCTTCTCTACGAGTCATTTTTGGATCAAATCCACCTTTGTAGTACATGCTTCCGGTGAAGGACTGAAGAGAGCATGAAAAATTATCGATAAAGGCATTTTGTCAAGTTCCACATAGGGCCTAATGCATTCCAATGGCACAGCAGCGGGCAATGAATGATTGACATAGGATTTACAATCAATTTTCCATGAAGAAGATTATCCGAAGCAGGGTCCACAATCCGAAAAAAAATCGTTCGAGGTAGAACACCACGCTCATAATATTTTTAGAATTATTACACAATCGGGCCCAAGATGCGGACATAATTGGTACTGCACATTTGATCACAATTTCAATGAGAACATATTTAATTGGTTTTTCTGTTGGGTAAAAATGCAAAGAAAGTCCTACAAAAAGCAGAATAAATATTTTTCTCAACTTTGGGATACAGCAATGAAAAATAGTAGAAGAAATTCACAAACAATCTCCCCCTTTTTGAAGAAAACAAGCACACATCTTCCTACTTGTGCACAGATGGGAAAACCATGAAAAGAGAAACGCAAAATTATTTCGGATTATCAATTAGAGCTTATTTAAATATGGTTTATTTGGAAATTTTGTGAAAATGAATAGATCAATTTGTTCGAGACATACAAATAAAAAAAACCAAAATATTCCCTTTCTTGCTGACATTTTGGCAAACGTTCTGTATCTCGAGACACTGTCGAGAAATTGGGGCAGGGTTTTAGAAATCGAAGTGTCCTTGAAGACAAATCGTTCATGCGTCGGGGCCCCAATGCACACTTATCACTGCAATTGCGCTTCTATACTCACATCTGTTGGAAATTCCTTCATTTTTTGCGAGAACTTCTGAGACATATTCGGCATCTGACGTGCGATATACCGGCCGGCAAAACCAACTGTTGCCATGGCCAATCCGGCGAGAACCATCGAGGATGCCTAAAAATGGGTGATGATGCAAAATTTCGACAATCGGGTAACTGTATTCCTTACCATTTTTGCCGAGGCGATCTTCGCGAATTTTCCGGAGCCACAAAATTTCCGCTTAATGCTCTGCAATTAAATTAAAATCGTTCCTATAAAAAGAAAAATCAGCAAAAATTAAATAAAGAAATCCCCACAAGCCGCAATTGTGCATTTCCGTCACAACCCGCCAAACACGTCGACAAGATTTCCGTCATTTCCGCGTTCGCAGATCGATTCACAAATGTCTTGACCCAATGTGGCAGCAATCGACAACAAACCACGTTTATTTCCATCCGCAGTGATCAAATGTCTCGACTCCAGTCTCTGGAAAGGCAACGTAACAAAAAACCCGTCAAATGTAATACAGTATGCTCTAGGCATAACTCAAGTTTACGCTTTCAATTTTCCTAAAGTTTATCATTCAATGAAGGCAATACTTTATTGAAATTATACATTATACCCTTCATAAAAGCGGTGCCTCGGTTAACGGACATGCTCCGGAAGTCAACTTACCCAAAAATTATTTCACCAGCAATGTAACGCTACATAAATTAATGGTTGTTTAACCACCCTGAAGGAGTCCCTGAATCGAATAATGCGAAGGTACTGCACATGGAACGGATAACATAGTGGTCAATTTTCTATTATCAATTCTTGAATACATTTTTAAAACAATAGAGGTTTTATAATTTAACAATGAAAAAAAAAACGAGCCTTGCGATTTATCTACTGAAAGTTTGATCGCAGATCATCTCAGGGGATGTATCTTTAAAGAACTCCCATTCCTATTGCTGCAATCTTCCAAAAAATGTGTTTCTCTGAAGAATAAATTACAGAAGACCAAAGAACACTATTAGCTCTGTTGAGCAATCAGCAGAAGTATAAAACTACAAAAAAGTTGATCGCGGACTACCTTTTAACCCAAAAGAAGAGCTTTCAAATAAATATTTCATTGCTTCTCGCAAAAAAAGGAGCATACCTTCTTCGCCTCCGCATCGGCGTCCAAATTTTTCCAAACAATCCCAATGATGTTCCCACCATACACATCATGGAACACCAAAGCAGCATCTTCTAAATGTTCTTCGAGTTCCGTGACATACATTGACACCGGGTCAAAATTCAACACTGGAAACGAGTCCGGATACTTGGTTTTCCCAGAAAAAAGTCGATCCTTTTTGGCTTCTTTCACGAAGGACGAAAAATGGACCACATCGTTTCTCCTGACAACTGCCATAGGTCTCAGTTTTATCACGGCATCAAATAGTTCGAGAGACGGCACGAAGAACCCCTGATTTTCGAATGAAAAAAAAAACACGCTGTACTTTAATTTCCAGGGTTAAAATAAATACATCGGGTCTCCAACACATTACTTCACAAAAATGATAAGTTTTCCATATGACGAATCTTCACACTCCATAATTATAAAAAATGACATTCAACTGTGGGGGTAGACTTCCCTGGCACTCACAATACACAAACATTTTAATTTGCACATCTTCTGCTTCTGGTCACGCCTGAGCATTGTTACAGTGAAATTACTGTACTGCACAATCATTGATTGGATTCTAAATCGAATTTTCAAAATACAGGAATAAACCGTACAGGTTTTTCGTTTTCTCATTCACTTCCTAAAGCCGGAAAAAAATTCCATGAACTTCTCTCAAGAATTGAAAGACATGAAATATCCTGCCTTTCCCACAAGTCACATTTAAACCACCGCAGTGAACAAATTCTTAAAAAATCTCTTCACATAATACCAAAAATATTTGAAAATAAATTTTCGACCCCTTATGCCTACTAAGAAACTGAGCATGAATTCAACAAAATCCAGTCAAGAAGCTCACGTTGGGGACGAAGGAATCGGAACAGCAACCCGCTTCATACAAGTCCACAGCAGCTTTGCACAACTTTTTCAAATGCAATAGGACCGGCCATGATGGGCCACTTCGAGTCCATTCACATCCGGAATGGTCAAACGGAGTGATGATTACAATAGGAGGGAGCTCTTTTCTCCTCTCAACAAATTCAGCTTTCACAGCTGCAATACTCTCCACTGCAGGAAAATAAAATACGAAATACGAATATGAAATAATTCATGACGCAATATATCTTCCGAACTGTCCTAAGAACTAAGTTGAAAGGTACTGTACTGACATTGAATGGGCTTCTCAAAATTGAGAACGATTGGCAGAGTGGTGAAATCAAATCCCGCAATGAATGACCAGAACGCTGCCAAAATAGAGGTGCATGTAGTGGGCAACGGAAGTGATTTTGGACAGGCAAATATCGTTGCGATCAGCAGTCCTATAACTTCATCCGAGATCATTTCGCGGGAGATCATTTGTGCTCGGATCCACCTCAAAATCAATCGTGCTCCATCACTCCACCCAGAATACGATCCAATCAACCTGCAATAAAAAAAACACACACAATACATAGACTGAGGAGAGAAATTTGATTGACGAGACAGTTAATGAATGTAAATTGAGAACCTACAGTAATATTCTGAGCCGGTCAAAATTCTTTCACGCCACAAAAAATTCACTTCGGTTTATAAAATCAATTTTGGGCATAAAAACGTACGCTAACAGTATTCAAAATAGTAAGAAGTGTATTAGAGTAAAGATCGGTCGCAGTTTTGATTATTTTGTTAAAATTCGTCGTGGAACCCGATCAACTCCCTTTTATACTTGCATGCTCAAACAGAAGAAACCCAGTAAAGAAATCGGTTGATCTCGAGGTAAAATTACACTGATCTAATAAATTTCAAATTGTTACTGTCCCTGGCTTTCATCTGCATTAAAGCAATTCGTACGTCGATGAAAAAGTGGGAAAATCCATCAAATATTAAAAACAAATTCACAATATTTCTACACAGAAGACTCGTTGGGGAAGACAGCGTTTTCGTTTTAAAATCTGGAAATCCTTATTGTCGAACTTTCATCAAAACGATCGTTCACTGGATCACAATGGCAGTCACAGACGAATTAACTTTTCATCTTTGATTGGTGAAACAATACAGGAAAAAAATTTCAGGGTCCGCAAAATAAACAGAACTAACCCATTCAAATGCGACATCAAAATTGGTCTTCCAACAACATCTCGTTTCAGTTTTGCGGAAGCCTGTGTTTCCCGGGAAAGGAGAACCCCTTTCTCATCCCGCGTGAGTTCCATCAGCGTCAACTCTCTCTCAACTCCCAAAAACAAGGAGAAAACAAATCCGTCTTTTGCGACTTTCAAGGAATCTGGCGTCACCGCAGTTTTCAATCCATATGCTTTGTTGAGTTTTTGTCCTAAATCAGCGAGCAACAACGTCTTCATTCTTCTTATAGCTTCGACATCCGTTGGCCACTTCCCAGATGTTTCCAATTTCAAACACACTGCGATTGAAGAACATGATACTGTAATTCTCGGGTTTACGTATCGTTTCTAAAATAGAAGAAGTCTTGACAACACTAAGAATTCTAAAAATTCCTGCGTCACAAATACAATTTCATGCACGAAATCAAACCAGGAGATCAATCTTTAATTTTGTTGCTGCTGAATTGAAATAGAGTGAAATACTGAACTATGAAGAATAGATTGAATCCGAGACATCAGCAGAATTGTAATTTCAATACGGAGGGCTCCAAAAAAAAAAAACAAATTGTAATCATGAACTTTTTTTTACAGTAAATCTCCTATTCAGACCGTATTTATTCCTCCAAAATTTCTTCGTAACTGCTCCGAGCGTTCTCGGCTGCTTCGTTTCGACAGCTGCATCCACAGTGAGCGTATTTTCAATAGATTTTTCCATTTATTGGCACTTTTCATCAAGATAATAAATAAATAAATCATTCAAAAACAAACATTTTCAAAGCAAGCCATCAGCAGTAAAACGGATTCAAAACATTCAACTGGTTTTTCAAATGTTTATTTGCGTGTTGGTGAAACTCGCCGCTTTCCAACTTGCTGCACACCCAACCTGCCGCAAGCTGTTCAACTTGCTGCTACCACAACTTGCATCAGTGACAACTTGCTGCTGCAATAAGTCACCGCAGTTGGAAGTTGCCGCTGCAACAACTTGCTGCTGTAATTACTTGCTGTTTTAACAACTTGCGGCATGAATTGCAGCAAGTGTACTTGCCACGGCATTTTTTTTCTATCTTTGCGTTTTTTTTTATCTTTCTCTGTGAAAATTAAAATATTTCTTTTCCTCATTCAGTAAAATATGTGGGAATTCCCACATTCTTCCACTTCTTAACTAGGCATGAAGACATGATTTAATCTCATCTATCTGGGTTTTTTCTTTCTCTGTGAAAATTACAATATTTCTTCTCTTCATTCATGGAAAAAATGAATTCCCTTTTTTCCATGAAAGGAATAGGAATGTCTAGTATAAAAAGATGAGTGCAATGCCTGAGGAAGAGCAGTTACTTTATGGATTTTTTTTAATAAATGCCCCCTGCTGAATCCAAAACATTTATGGCAGACTTTGAACTGGCATCTTGGAAAGCTTTTTTAAAACTATTCCCAAATAGTTGTGTTTTTCACCTTGGCCAGAATGTATACCATACAGTGCAAGAAGAAGGACTTGCTCCAACTTACAAGAAGGATGAATGTGTTCAGAAATTTTCAAAAATCCTTATAACTTTGTCTTTTTTACCACCAGAAGAAGTTTGTGCTGCTTTTGAATGTTTGAAAAAAAGGCATATCCAAAAATCCTTGATCCTATTTATGAGTATTTTGAAAAAAATTATATTGGAAAAAAATTAGAAGGGGCAAGCAGCACCCAGCTTTGCTTCCAATTCTAACTTGGAAAAGAAACATTGTAATTTTCACAAATAAAGAAAACCCCACATAAATGATATTAAATCATGTCCTATCTGAATTTTTTTTTATCAAGTACAGCAAGTTGAAACAGCGGCAACTTATAACTGCTGCCAGTTGTGACTGCGGCAACTTATTACTGCAGTCACTTCAAGCTGCGGCCACTTGCAGCAGCAGCAAGTTAGGGTGCGGTGACTTGAGGTGCACAAACACCTACAAAAAATTTAATCGTTCTCTCCCGGATAAATAAAATTATAAACAGTTAACTGTTCCACTTGCTTCAAAGCAGAATACACAGGAATGATTTTTTCTAAACCCAATGGTCAGTCGATGCCGATAAAGTAAAATTTTTAAAATCCAATTCCAACAAAGATTTTCAAGTGATTTGCAAAAGATGCTTATAGTAGACATCGAAAAAAAAAGAAGGAAAACAACTCACAATCCGATGTTTCCAAGTATTCAGGACAAATGAGTCGATTCGCAACAGCAGAATCAAGTTTCCTTTTCTTCGACTCGCTTTCGCCGTCGTCCTCGCCTTGTTCGCGCCTTCGAAAATTCACAGAAGGCAACCTTTGAGGAGGACACGGTTCAAACTTGCCAAAAACTGCGGAAATGCCTTGAACACTGGTAACCCCGAGAACAGCATCCTTCAGCCCGATAATTTCTTTCGTCAGTTCTTCGGCCGCCGAACACACTTCCGCAGCTCGCTTGGACGCCGTGAAAATAACCGGATCGAAATCCGCAGTCATATAAACCCTTCCATCTTTCCCCTTTTTCGTTGACGAGTTGAAATGCAAATTAAAAATATGCTTGATGATTCGTGTAACCACACCGCCGGGTACCCTCGTTTCTTCAGGCGCCCAGACAACAGCTTCAACCACGGAGCCATCGGGCATCAGCCGAGATTGCACTCGGTTCTCGCCCCAAAGTGCTCTGAATTCTTCCGCCTAAAAAAGTACTGTAATGTAGTACCCCTTGCTGTTAAAAACCAATATCGAAAGACAAAAACCTCTTTTGTGCCAACCACAGGGCCCTTTTCAAATTGAGTCAGCAGTGCATCCCGAGCTAAAATCACTCCTATCAGCTGTTTTCCAATTGTCCGTGAAGGTAGAAGTCCTATGTATTCCGCTCTACAATGACATGTCAGCTCAGCGTGAATTAAAGCTCTTAAAGCGTCGATGGATCTCTCAAGTCTGAGGTTCCCGAACAAATAAAATTACCACTTTGAAAATACTACGTCAAAAAAGTTACGCATCGAGGAATCCGTAAGCTATAAGAAACTAAATTTGTCCATAGGAATGACGGATTATTATTTTTTATTTGATACGAGAGTTGATTGGGTTCCAGGTGGAATTTACACAGAACATTACACTAGGAAAGATTTTTGAATTCTTCGGCTTGAATTCTTTTCATACAAAAGTAAAAATAAATCGAAGCAAATCCGCTGAGTTTTCTATTGCTAATAAAATGTTCGGGCACACAGCATAAAAAAAAAAAAACACGAACTCACCTCGCAGCCAATGCTTTACCCAAAGCAGGAATCAAAACATTTCTAACACATGCTTCCTGACCACAGGTTTTTAAACCACGGTCCATCAGGAACTTCCATGATCCATGCCATTGACAGACTCTTTCCAAAGTGGCTTCGGGTACACTAAAATAGATTCTTCTTGGTTATTTTCAGAAAAATTAAAAGAAAAATGATTCAAAAGACACTCTAGACGTAATATCGCTTTGGCTGGAACAAATTGTCACGAGAGCAAGTAAGGAAATCATACGTATACAAAAGTTTAAATCCGGATATTAAGGCTTGCTCTTCTGTGAAAACGCCGTTTTGATAGCTTTTTTTATACGAAGATTAGGGGGCTGTTACAGTCTCCATAAAAGCGTATTTCCTTGAGATTTACATGTGAATCTCACCTGTAAACTGCATCGAACTGTCGGTAAAAATCGGTATCCTCGACGAATAAGCTTTGAAAAGCGTAATCGACCCTCGAGGATAAAATATTCAAAGCATGTCGAGCCCCTCGTTCAATAAGATCAACAACATGCTCTTCCATCATTTGAGCAACGTTGTATAAACCGGAAGGATCCAACACGACGACAGGGAAATGCTTCTTGAACATTTCCACGGAATTCTGGGCCTTCTCCAACGAGATTCCACCGGTTTCCCGCAAGCCATTATTCGCCAGAAAGCTCCAGAAATTCCGAAGTATCTGGTATGAACTCATATCACGATGTATTCGTTTCTTCACACAAAGCCACATGAGCAAGGCTGCGACCACAACTTTGCTCATACCTTTATCCCCATGAAGTCGTCTTCGTCGCAACCAAACGCAGCACAATCGATAAGCATCCCGTAAATTCGAACTATCTGCACTGAGATGCTTCCGCATCAAATCGTGTATTCTCAATCGCGCAGAGCCTCTGGCGTGTAAACCATTCGTGAACGGAGAAACGATGAGGTTGTCTTCTTCGCAAGTGTTCTTCGGGATGAATTTCCGAAGCTCTTCTGGACACAGAGAGGTGAACCAATTCAGTCGCAAATTGCTTCTGTCTGGTAAGAAACGCGAATTCCCAACAAAATCTTCTGGAAGAACGACGTCGATTATGACCCTTGCATGACAACCAAGGCCTTCTGGAGCAACAACGAGAACTGGGTAATGGTCTGACCAGTGCTCAATTTTTCCGACGGTTATTTCTAGAACTTTCTTTTGGATCCTTTCAATCATCTTCCTCCGTTTGTCCAAAAAAGTACAGTTCAGATAATCTGATTTTCGTAGGGCTTCTGTTGGCATGACGAGCAGGATTTCAGCTTCCGAAGGACAGAAAGAATCTCCGATTTCGAGTTCCAGGTCTCCAGCAGTTCTGACAGAACACGTGAATTTCTTGTTCTCCACGACATCTGAGAACTTTATGGAAGCCAGAGTCTCGCCAAAGTTCTTCATCCATTTCTGCAAGTTTTCTTGCTTCTCTGATGGAAGTTCAGTTTCTTTCAAGAAATCGCCAATCTAAAAGAAAAAAAAGCTGATGAAAACTGATTTCGGAAATTTCATACAATCATCACCTGCAGACGAATCCAATTCGCATACTGAAGGTTTTCAGTGTTTTCACTAAGATTCGCGGGAACCTTCATCTGAAGAAAGAAAACCTAATTAAATAAACGAATGATGAGCAATAGTTTCGAAGATGAAGGGGAATTCAACTCAATTACACAAATAATTGTCCATTCGGCAACCAAAAACACACAACACAGCAACAGAATGTGCACGAGTTGGAAAGCTTCGAAAAATCTGCGATTATTCAATTTTGGGCAACATCCGCCAAGCTCCGATTTTGTATCGCAGCCAAATGCCCATTAAATCCTTGCCCATCTGAAGCCAGCTCCAAATGGGCACGAGTTTGGAGCCTTCTATCTCTGTCCACATCACAGCGACTTCCTCAATTTTCATGTTGAAATGCCGCGCTATGCGAAGCACTTCGACATCAAATGCCCTGAAAAAAAATTTATTGGATGAGACAAGAATTGTGAAGAGTTAAGACCACTTACCATCGCGTAACATGCAGATTCGTGAAGCACAGACGGGCTGCTTGCCTCGTGAACAATTTGAATCCACACTGGGTATCTTTCACGTTTCCACAGCCACCGAACAGCCACACCACCATATGAAATCCATACATCAGAACAGTTCTGTGTACGAACAATACGATGAAAAGAATTGGAGAAATGAAAAATCATTCATCATCGAATAACTAAAATGCATCATTCAAGATGCGGGCGAGTCAAAGAATATTCTCCCTTGAACCAACAGATCAGGTAGCTGAACATTTACAAGTGCAGATGAGCAGTATCAAAGCAGAAGCGCGCATATTCATGACTCGCCTGAATAAAACTACTGAAAATTTTTGTTCCAACATACCTGACGTAAGATCTTTTGGCAATAGACTGCTTTTCTAAATGAGCACGGGATCCCACGGCGAGCGCTGGCTTCTCCCATGCAATAGAAATCGCATCAACTAAAGGCATGGCAACACCATCCGCACTTATTTCCAGCTCTTGATCACCAGATAATTGTTGCTGTTCTTGCAATTCACCGACAGTTACTTTATGAATCGCTTTCTCGAGTTTCACAATTTCGCTGAATTCCGTAGCCCCGTCGGCGTCAGCGAATAAGACGTACTTTCCGCGCGAGCTCATCATTCCCATGTAAACCGCGCCTCCTTTACCACGATTCTTGGTCAACGTTAAAACTCGTACTTTCGCAGACCCATACTTCTTGGCAAATGTAAATGCTACTTCACTAGTTCTGTCACCGGAGCCATCATCAACGACAATGACTTCATAAGTGAACTTCAATTTTGTTTCGGGATCCGGGTCTGCTTTGGTTCGTGTTTCAAGGTATTCCAAACATGACTCCAGCATTTTGGGTAAGCGTTTTTCTTCTTCGTACGCAGGAACTACGACTGACAGTTCGACGGAAGGTGCTTCATGGATGGAAGGAAACACCTCAACTTTACCGCTCGACGGATCAACGTAGCACTTCTCGGAGTCCAAGCGGTCCATCCTTGGATACGGTGACGAGGTTGCGTACAATATGAACAGACCCTGAAAGTTCAGAAAGATAATCCAATGCCGACTTCGGAGGTGAGCTGTTTACACTCACACATATGGAAACAAAGACGGCTAATGCAACAACATATGCGAAGACAACTTGGAATGAGAGTCCGGATAAAACTGGCACGCTTCCGAAGAGAAGCTGCTTCATATTCGCCGCAGTTCGAAACGCGGCAGCAACGCACAACTCCTGAAAACAATCAAAATCTCACCACATATCCAACAATTCAATGCACACTGATTCGCCGTTTATCGCCAAGAACCATCAGTGACACCAGCCACTTGAGGGCTTCATAGGCCGACCTGAGACGATTCTCTCAACTCGGCACACGTGAAATGCGCGGAGTTGCTGACAAGGTCCTCGTGTTGGTTGGGCACGGGCTGTGATGCTTGCTGAGAGCGACATCTACACAATCATTAAACTAACACTGAACAAGTGCTGGTGATGTGGTATGTGCATGGAGTCCACGCAGTGGTGCCGATCAGAAAGCGTCCGAACGTGTCAATTCAACATCATCTATTCATCATACAAATCACATCAGCCGTCGTGAAACCATTCAGAACTTCATACTCTTGAATATAAAATACAATACATTCAAGAGCTTGTTTTTTTCGGAAAGAAGAACTCTCTGAAGCTAGCAAACATCCTCCAGCGGCGGGTTTGGTTCTGCGTAACTCCAGACTTCGACCGGTATCCGACATGAAAGAAATTCGTAGGTCGGCAGATTTCACTGCATGGTCTTGTGAACCTACGCCGAAAAGCTATATTCCCGGACAAACAAAAGCACATTATGAATCACAGCAACAAATTCCCGTGCGATTATCCTTCTGCAAAGAAGAAACATTTGATTCCTCGCATCTCGGCAACCAGCATCAATAGCGGTGAAGCATCGAAGCATGAACCCCATCTACCGGAGAAACATGGAGGGTGTAACCCGCCTCGCATAACTTTCAATATTGAATCGCAGCAACCTTTTTGTTTCTACTGCAACCTTTGTTTTCAACTTGAATTCTCGTAAAATTACATATAGATATTGAATTCCAGATATAAATATTTAATATGCTGTACACGCGCGGTATTGTATTAACATTTTTTTCATTCAGTAGAATATAAGTGAACATCGTACTTGTGAATAGGTTTATATCCGAAATGTTGGCTGTAAATTGAAGTGAGTGTCTTAAACTTGAGCTGGCGTGTAAACTGAAGTAAATTTGCTGGTATAAACGCACGAGTATACTTGATGGAACTTTCAATGCAGTATCTAATCATACACAACAAAATTGATCGGGTTTGAAATATTTTAACTTTTGCGTGTTTCTGCATTACAAATGCTTGTTTTTTTGTCATTTTCGGCATCGAATTATTCATTCTTTTTCCATGCGGTCATTTTTTCATGATGCAAAAAGAATGCTTATTGTGTCAACAACAAACAATTTCTGCATTTCTATAATCCATGGGTATTTCATGCATTATCCAAATCTAAAACGATTTGGCCCATATTGAAAGCAAAAAAGTTATTTAATGAAGTTGAAAAAGTAAATTTTATTCGATTAAAGATAAAATTCAACTCTTGTTACAGATTGATCTTTAAATATTATGATTTTTCAGCAGGCACAAAACATAACGTGCTAAATTTTAAAAGGAGGTGTACAAAATAATTTGGGTTATATGAGAAATGAAAAGTCTGGAGAGAAAAGTTATGAAATTTTAAAATTATTCGTCAATTTGAGAGAATATCTGGAACACTTATTCCGTATTTTGAGTATTCTTTCTTTGTTCAATCGAAGAGTGATGAAAATTTGATTTTATATTGAAACTAAATGCATCGTATGATTTTTTTTAAACGTATGCACCACAATAGCTACAATTAATAAAAACCATATGTAGGATATCATTTTGTCATTTGAAAATTTAAAAAATGCATTTCAAATCCTAGAAATGATCTGAGTGCAATATATTTTCATTGCCAAAAATTATGCTGCAAAATACCGATCACTATACCCATTCCCTTATACCTGCATGGCACTACATCGCAGACGCTTTTGTCTGTGCCGTCCCCAGCATGCATACTTGTTTTTCATGATCAATTAGTATTATTATATTGTCCTTGCAACCTGGCACATTTGTTCCTTGGAATCTTACATAAACAGCAAGGAATGGCCTTGAGATTCCTGAGAAAGTTAAGACTAGACCCTTCCATACCTGTGGATTGTCTCTTGGCAATCCAAGGGGAGGGGAGCTGAGCCGGCGCAGAAAGTTGACCACAAAGGACCCCTGTCCATGGTTTTTTTTTTTTTTTCTGTTCGCCCCAATAAGGACGAGGGCATTTGGCGCATCTATCCACTCACCCTTTGAAAAAAAGGGGTCCATTGACAGGGCGGAATAAAAATCCTTTCATTCCTGCTGGTATAAGCCAGTCCTGGACTGGCCACCTTGGTTAAGACCGCTTCTGATTTTATGGAATCCCTTGAAAATTTCCCTTGGTGGCGGGTCTATCCACGAAGGGGCTCCCCCTTTACCGATCCACCACCCTGGCCCTGCACCCAAGGCAAAAAAAAGGTCACCATGAAAATCCGTGAAAATCCGATCTATCAATGTCACTGGCCTCAGGAAAAGGCTTTGACTGGTCGGCGCCTAATGAAACAAATGAAAAAAATGAATGCTGTGCTGAACAGGACACTGTCTGGCAGACGCTGTCTATCGGACGCTGTCTGGCGCCACAATCATTTACATGTAGATAGGCTGGCAACTTTTTTTTCTGATTTTTAAATTCAAAATTTTGTCAATTATTTGAATTTTAAGTTTGATCCCCAAATGGGGCTCACGGCAGGTCCCATCTCCTTTTTTACTAATAAGGAAAATCTTTTATAAATTGGAAAAAAAAATTTTGAATTTTTTGGCTAAATTTTATTTTCAAAGCTAAATGTGAGTGCAAGCAGATCTTCTTATCCATTTGAGATACAAGAATGCCATCAGGAATGAAATGCATAACTATTTTTTATGATTTTCAAAATATTTCTGAATTTATTTTTTTTGTAAAAGCTACAAAATTCTATGAACAGCATCCAGGCTGTAAACCAAGTAATTTGCTAGCCTTTTTCACTGTAAGATGAAGTTTGAAAGCTTAGGGGTATCTTCAAATTTTTTTTTCACAAAAATTATATTTATTACAATCACAGAAAAATTGATTTAAAAGCAAATAAATTTTGTTTATCCATTACAAAAAGTCCCTTAATCTAGTCATGAAGAAAATTCCTCAGGAGCCATTAATTCTACTGTATGCAGTCTTATACCTGCCTTCCATGCAAATTTGCCTAAGAAATTTTAATGTCCCCAAAAAACGAAGAATATACAGGCAGAAAAGTGTGAAACTCTGGCAGGATGAGATAAAATCGGCAGCCGTCTTGAATGCGCCGCCTGCCCAAGAATCAAAGGATTTTTTTCGGCCCTGTGGATGGCCCCCTTTTTTTTGAGGGGCGGGGGTCCATAAAACCCTTGGTGGATAGAAATGCCAAATGTCATTATTCCCATTTATGAGAATGTACCAATATAATGTGGAACCGGTCAAATGATCAATTTAGAAAACATATCTTTTTCTTTACTTCGTGGTCAGATTCAACTATAATGTGAACGAAAGAGAGATAAACACACCTACCGAGCGCAATTCTGAGAAACCATTGGGCGAATTATTTTCTTGAATGTATTTGGCAGTTTCCCATTTCTGAGAATGTTAGAAAAATGAAGATCACCGGTCAAACGATCAATGTAAAAAATAAGATCAATTTTGTTTTGTTGCTCCATGCACAAATTACAAAAGGATATATGAATTATATACTGATAAGTAGACCAACGAAATGCAATTCTGAGAAATCATTGGGCGAATTTTTTCCTTGAATGTATTTGTTAGTCTCCCATTTATGAGAATTCATAAATGGGAATCATAAATTCAGTCTCCCATTTATGAGAATACGATAAATGTGGAACCGGTGAAATAATCAATTAAAAATTAATATCAATTCTTCTTAAAAATATGGTGAAATCCAAAAATGATATGAATTAAATACTGATGAACAGAAAAGAAAGAAAATTGTGAAGAACCATTGATTTAAAAAATTTGGATGCATTTTGTTGTAATTACCTGGCTTGTAAAATCATTGTGCAATAACTTGAAGGGAAATGAGTGTGAAATTATCTTCTTCGCAACATTATACATGATTCAGTCATTTAATTTGCAAATCGATCCTCATGTATAGAAAGAAAAAGTCGGGAGACTGTTTATTTCGCCAGCGGATATTTCCCCCGGTTTGAAATAGCGTATACCTGGAATTTGCAACAGATTGCGTCTCACTACCGCGTCAATATTCAGTTTTAAAAATGAATATCGAACAGAAAATGGAGGTTATTAAAAAAAGTTGGGTTTCGCGGCGCTTCGCACAGGGAATTCCTGGATTCCAAAGTAGGAATATGCATGTTTTTTTTGCCTGAAAAAAAAAAATTAAAAGAGAAGCAAAGTTTGGAGAACAGGGATGATTGCACTCCAAGGAAACTTGACCGTGACGCACTCCCGTTAATGAGTGTCAAAATCCAGTATATAGTGTCGAAATATAGACTCACATCGTCGTGTATCGAGCCCGACGACCTGTGAAGCGACGATTCCGTTGCGGTAATGGATTAATCTGCGTCAGGCCCAGCCCTAGAGGAAATCAGTGGAGTGCGGATTGTGTTGGGCCTCATTTTTCCCCATCATCCTGTTTCCGTTTCTATTTTCCCCACCTTTTTGTTTTCTATCTCCTTCGGAGTATATCCGGCACCCTGGTGGAAATTACACGATTCTGCTCCTGCTGGTTAAGCTGATCGCACGCTTCCAATGGGAAAAGAAACGCGCTGTGATCCGGATTTCCGACGAAGACTCGGAGCCTCGCGAAAGCAGCTTTTCGTTCCGGAGTTCCTTCCGTTTTTGTCTCTGGATCCTTCCTCTTTGAAATACAATTTTTATGAAAATATAAAGCAAAATATCTCAGAAGGTTTACAATGCCGTATTTTCCCCCCAAGATGGGACTCAATTCGTGGCACATGCCAAAATGCGGGACGCGCACTTCGGGTACACAGGGCGAGAGTAAGAAGTTCGTGATTGCTTTCATAAATTATGAATGGCAAACAAATAGCTTATGTTTTTGATGTTTAAAATGCCTGCCTCCTTTTCTTAGGCATACATTCGATTTTTCCCCCCGATAAATGTCTTTGAAAAATCAGCAGTTTGATTTCTCTTCAAATTTTTGGGGAAAATTCGACCTTGAATGTTTTTCGAACCCCATGGATATTTGATGGTGTAATGAATGAAATCGGATATTTTTTTTTATCATCGATGTCAAAAATGCGATGCTACTTCACCATTTCTGTCGATTCCATTCCGATGAAAAGAATGGAAACGAAAAATATCCAAGGGACACATGAATAAGAATTCAGATGCAAGCATAGTGGTTTAGGAAATTAAATTGAGGTCTGAACCCATATTGTTCGTTATTTAATTTTCATGGGATGCCTTTATTTTTGTATTTTTGTTCACTGGCGAAAAGTTGAAAAATAGGTTCTTCTTGGAATGCCTTTTTTGACGGCGAAGTTCCACTATGACATGATTGCGGAATTTCCTGTGAAAAATTCTTCGAGTTTTTTTTTTTTCTCGGGAACCGCTCGGGTTGTCGGAATTGTAAGTCTTCAAAAAACCCACTCGAGTCTGTTCCCCACGGAAATCCGGAATACTGCAACAACATCTCCAGGAGAAGCCGAAGAATAAAAGAAACTTCGTTATTTTTGCGTATTCAAGCACCAAATAAGACAATTTTCATGTCACATAAACGCTTGAACAAGAGAATCTGAAACATGTGAAAATATAAATGGAGGTTCGAAAATTTTCCCAAGTTTCCGAGATTCTCATGAACAAAACCGTGCAGAATAAAAAAAAAAATTCTGCATTCTCAGACGATTTAAAAATCTGGATTAATTTGAATGGAATAAAGTAAATAAACCATTGACAGAAGACCTAACAAACAAACAAATTGTTCAATTCAAGTGCAATATACACGGTCACACCAGAAAGATTCATTTTGTCTTTTCTGTTCTCCATTTTCATGAACTTCTGTAGAAATCTTCGGTTATTTTATAGGCCCAATATTTGAATCTGTGAAAATTCGCGTGACTCTCCGTTTCTCTGCGAAATAAATAATTCTAAAATCATTATTCTAAATTTAGGCAATTTTTGACTCTCAGCAGAGCCGTGCTTCATTTTCGTGAATCTATACTTTTAAATTTGAACTACTCTGAAATTTTTTTAATCGTTTCTTCATTGAACCTTCAAATGACATCTGCTAAAACTTCGGAAAGAATGGAAAATCAAGGAGGAAAATATCCATTCGAGCATCATTTTCCCATTTGCCACACGCATGGGTTTCAGCTCATCAATCCTGCCGCCAAAGTTTCTGACATCGGAACACAAAGTACGTGTTCTTAACATGACGACAAGCAACACTTGACGCTGCTGGCTGTTTTTTTTTTTCAGGGAAAGAGGGATTATTTTCTATCATGCGAGCTTCCGTAGTTGTTCTTGTCAGCATTCTTATCCTCGAGATTATGCGGGCTCGAGGTTATTATTGTTGCGGAAAAATGCGAGCACTTGGTGACGAACACCATGAAGAATGAGTGAGTGAGTGAAAATGGGTGGAGAAAAGAGGAAGAGAGATCACAAATGTAAAATCAGAGAATAAAGAAAAGAAGAATACGGTATTGTAGAGGACGAGAAAATATACGCAATCTTTGAGCTGTTGTACCTTCTGTATTAAAGTTTACATTCCTGTTTCGCACGTGTTTCGTTTTTATAGTTTGTTATGCATTTTTGTGACTATTATACCCGTATTTGAAATTGAGCAGAAAAACGAAAGAAAAAAATGCTCCGCGAGTTTTTTTTTTCTTTTTCTGAGAGATGTTTGAGTTACTTCATGAAAACATTGTCCTAGTTTCGCGTGGCTTCAAATTACTGTACTTGCAAATACAGTACAGTAGTTTCACCATGTATGGATCGCCTTTTGTTTGGGAAGATACATGCTCAGTCTCGTGTGAGATATTTTCCTCTAAAATGTGACAAGATTGATAAGATCAGTGGGTAATGTTCTCTGACTGCTATTTTCGGGATGATCAAAGAAAAATTAAAGGGATTGAAGAAACCGACATAAATGATATATTTCTCACTCAAATTTTCCGAGAAATTTTCAATCCTTTCAATTTAAAA